TCCTCAAATTCGTACTACTTAGTGGTGGAAATGTAAACAGTCAAATGTTTCCACTTGAAAATGCTCCTCAAATTCGTACTACTTAGTGGTTGAAATGTAAAGCAGTCAAATGTTTCCACTTGAAAATGCTCCTCAAATTCGTACTACTTAGCGGTGGAAATGTAAAGCCGTAAAATATTTCCACTTGAAAATGCTCCTCAAATTCGTACTACTTAGTGGTTGAAATGTAAAGTAGTCAAATATTTCCACTTGAAAATGCTCCTCAAATTCGTACTACTTAGTGGTGGAAATGTAAAGCAGTCAAATATTTCTACTTGAAAATGCTCCTCAAATTCGTACTACTTAGTGGTGGAAATGTAAAGCCGTAAAATATTTCCACTTGAAAATGCTCCTCAAATTCGTACTACTTAGTGGTTGAAATGTAAAGCAGTCAAATATTTCCACTTGAAAATGCTCCTCAAATTCGTACTACTTAGTGGTTGAAATGCAAAGCAGTCAAATGTTTCCACTTGAAAATGCTCCTCAAATTCGTACTACTTAGTGGTGGAAATGTAAAGCCGTAAAATGTTTCCACTTGAAAATGCTCCTCAAATTCGTACTACTTAGTGGTTGAAATGTAAAGCCGTGAAATGTTTCCACTTGAAAATGCTCCTCAAATCTGTCCTACTTAGTGGTTGAAATGTAAAGCAGTAAAATTATTCTCCTCAAAGATACAATTATTTTAGATCCATTTCGTAAAGATTACTAAATTTATATTGGAAGATACATATATATTTATTACATTTCACCGTGTTAATGTGTTGGTGCATCTTATCGTTTAGTTATGTTTGGTCGTAAGATGTAAGCGCACGTACTCCTTTTGTAATAAGATCTTGCTTACGAGAGTATCATTTACACATAAAATGTAACATTTCTCCTAGATTATACATTAAGTTAAGTTAATGGTTAAAATTAAGTAAGGGTTTAGTGAAAAGCGAATCGTAACATTAATAATTTGGCAGCAATAAACTACATACAATCCTTGAAAGAAAAAACTGATTACAGTTAATTTCATTGTGTATTCAAATATTCAGTATTCAGATAGTGTCTACCAACTACAATCTAGCATGTAAACACATGGAACATATGGTAATTGCGAGACTCGAGCCTCATTGGTGTTGAAAGTATCTGTGAATTCTAATCAATTTTGCTCCAGCTTCATAACAGATATTCAACATATTGCCTATGGAGGATTAACAGTTTGAAGTAGTTCGTTTTGATGACAATATTTGTTGATTCACAATTTAATTGATACTAGCGTCAACTGCCAAGCTGTATGTTGATGCTGCTGTAACGGTGCTGAATGTAACGGTGCTGCATGTAACGGTGCTGAATGTTACGGTGCTGCATGTAACGGTTCTGAATGTAACGGTGCTGAATGTAACGGTGCTGATGTAACGGTGCTGCTGTAACGGTGCTGCATGTAACGGTGCTGCTGTAACAGTGCTGAATGCAACGGTGATGAATGTAACGGTGCTGCTGTAACGGTGCTGCATTTAACGGTGATGAATGTAACGGTGCTGCATGTAACGGTGTTGAATGTAACGGTGCTGAATGTAACGATGCTGCTGTAACGGTGCTGCATGTAACGGTGCTGCATGTAACGGTGCTGCATGTAACGGTGCTGAATGTAACGGTGCTGCATGTAACGGTGCTGAATGTAACGGTGCTGCTGTAACGGTGTTGAATGCAACAGTGCTGAATGTAACGGTAGGGCTGTAACGGTGCTGCATGTAACGGTGCTGCATTTAACGGTGCTGAATGTAACGGTGCTGCATGTAACGGTGTTGAATGTAACGGTGCTGCTGTAACGGTGCTGAATGTAACGATGCTGCATGTAACGGTGCTGAATGTAACGATGCTGAATGTAACGGTGCTGCTGTAACGGTGCTGCATGTAACGGTGCTGCATGTAAAGGTAGTCATCAAGCGTACATTTCAAAACGCGTTTGGGTGTAGGCCACTGTAACACTAGCACCGGGCATTTCAATGTTTACTTAATTATTTGTTTCGGGAGTACCTTTAATCAAGACGTTATACTGATGACAGAAATACTGATGTGCAGAAAGGGAATTCCATTGTGACGCATTTGGTCAACGTGTTACTTCAGGTCTTCCAGTCTTTTAGTGTGACTCCATGACTATCTTGAATGGGTAATACTCATTCCTGGGTCTTTCTATCTAAAATGTATTGGCACACTTTCTTCGCGTATTCTAAATAAGCGAGACAAACATATTTCCATAATCATAAGAAATCCATGCTAGAAGCAGAGTTGATTGTACGAATCAGACTATATCCGGTCTTTCTTAGCTTGTGTTTATGGAGTCACTCTCAGCTGATTTACCCACCTGAACGAGAGTAATGAATGAGACCACTGAGATTGTCTCATCTGTTTCATATTAAGATCTATGCATAAAGATTCAGAGTTACAAAACACTCTCCACGAAGCTGTGTGACAAGGGGGATGACTTCAACTTTGCAGTGGTTACTTTTCCCTTTTTGTGAGCAATATTCCAGCAAATTCGGCCTCGAGGTCAGTATACTGTGTCTGAGTGGGGGATTCATGTCAAACTACAGCATGGTATCTCAGTGGGCTGGCACAAGAAAATCGGCATTAACCCGGACTAGTACAAGCAGCCATACAGCCACACAGCCACACACGCTGACGCATGCACATCGCTATATAAGTCGAATAATGTTGGACGCAAAGTTAAACCCCATATGACAAAGAAATATTTTTGTTTGTTTGTTGTTTGACGCCGCCGTTTGAGCATCGATCTACGCAACTGGGATACGATGACAAGCATCAATCGATCCCGATCCCGTTTGTCGCCTCTTATGACCGACATATTTGCCGCTGAAGATCACTCCCAACCCGGATCTTCACGGGTAAAGAATAATGAATCAGTGGTTGATAACATATGCCTCCCTTCCCGACCCAACGCATATTAAATGGTGGTTGTAAATCTCTTCAACACAACAAATTAACATCAGTCAAAAAAATCTTTGCAGATGGAGAAAACGTTTGTGTGATAGTAGTAAGATTTTACGTGGGCTTCATATTCCTCGATCCTCAAGTGTAAAATACAACTGAGAAATAATATTCGTTGTTTGTTTGTTTGTTTGTTTGTTTGTTATTTAAAGCCGCACTCCGCAATATTCCAGCTATATGACGGCGGTCTGTAAATAATAGAGTCTGGACAAGACAATCCAGTGACTGGTACCATGATCATTGATCCACACAACTGGGATCGATGATATGCATCAACCAAGTCAGCGAGCCTGACCACCCGATCCCGTTAGTCGCCTCTTACGACAAGCATAGTCGCCTTTTACGGCAAGCATGGGTTGCTGAAGACCTATTCTACCGCGGATCTTCACGGGTATGAGAAATAATATTCACTTCCATGGTAACATGTCATTTTAAGACCCAAAGGAAATGGGATATCATAATAAAATGGCTGGTATGACTAATACGATAAACCAAACCGATAATTGTCGTATCACTATCCGATAAATTCTCAGGTTTCACAATTAACATTGCACATACTGTGGATCTTTTTCACATAAAGAATAAGTTAATATCAGTACAATAAATCTTTGAAGAACCCAATCAGTGTTATGTATTATTTAAAATTTTAAATAGGAATATTTTCAATCAATCCATATACCCAAGAGTAGGTTTTTTTTCCATTTCATGTTGAGTTCACTTTTAGGTTACACCTATTTCATATTATATTTGAGAAATAAACGATGAGTGGTAAGATATCTACGCGATAAATCGCAAAGAACAATTAAGTGTGAGTGAGTGAGTATGGTTTTACGCCGCTTTTACCAATATTCCAACAATATCACGGCGGGGGACACCAGAAATGGGCTTCACGCATTATACCCATGTTGGGAATCGAACCCGGGTCTTCGGCGTGACGAGCGAACGCTTTAACCACTAGGCTACCCGACCGCCCCGAACAATTGAGAACGGAGCGTGGTTTATTTAGGAGATAAACCTACTGTGTTTTGAAATTTCATGTAGTGCCACTGTAGAGTAGATACTCTCATTCAAACATTTGAAAGCTCGCGCTAAAGCGCTCGGATTAAAATACAGATTAAAATAGTATGCCAAATCCTTGTGGTGTTAGTTGACGTAGATGGAAATGAATATCAATCCAAAAAAAAGGTTTGTAAACAGCATGTTGTTGTGAATAAAGTTTCTTCAAACACTTTTTTATGATGTTATATTTTACTTTAATTGTCGGTTGTCGGGAAGACCCGGCGTGTATTTGAGACTCAGCATAAATAGAGGAAATATCGATACGTTTTACAGTTTCTATTTGTGATCGATCGGCAACCATGTTTTATGAATCGATATGTAGGCTATTGATGCATTCATACACACGTTTTCTTTGTGTGTGAAACGGCTAAATAATTTGCAAAGGGTATTCCGAAGCAAAAAGGAAACCTCTTTCTAACCAATCAGAATCAAGCATTCTTCAATGTCATTGTAGAATTTGTGATAAAACATTGTTCTATCATGACGTCATTTCTGGAGAAGCGAACATGCGCTCGCAACTTGATGACGTCGTATGTTGGACGGCGTTATTTTTTAGATGAAACTGTCAAATGATTTAACTGGTCAACGCAGATTAACACAGTGGCCGAGCGATCGCATCCAAAAGTGGGAGAGATATAACAATCGGTATTGTGCGAAAATGTACAGATAATCGACGTGAAGATTGTGAGAATATGCTGGAAATACCGAACGTAACCCACCTGTTCGTAAAATGGACTTGTCTGAGGTCGGATTCTTCAGTGAGTCAGTATTATTATAATAGGTTAATATTCTCAGAGCTTACATAATGTTGATATCTCATATAAGAAATAAACAACGAGTGCGCCCCTCGTGGTTTATTCTCCCTGCGGTGTTTTATTGTACGATAAACAACTCCCTTTGTATATTTGTAGGAAATAAACGACGAATGGGGGTTGTTTCTCGTACACAAAAAACACGATCGCATCGAAAAGCGGGAGAGATATAACAATCGGTTTTGGGAGAAAAGCTACAGGTAATTGACGTGAGGATTGTGAAACTATGCAGGAAGTATCCACCTGTTCATAAAGTGGACTTGCCCGACATTTCCGAGGTAGGATTCGATTTAAGACTCATCATTATTAAAATAATGTTTTTAAAGCTTGTACATTTCATCATCATCCTTAAAGAGGCTGTAATTAAGATAAAAAAGACGACTCGTAGTCGTACAATAAAACACTGCAGGGAGAATAAACTTTTCGGCCCCTCATGGCCTATTCTCCCTGCAGTGTTTTATTGTACGATAAACAACGACCTCGAGTCGTTTATTTCTTAAATATATACACCCTGTCGATAGTATCCATACGCTAGTAGTATGAGCAAAAAAATTAAATAATTTGCCGATCCTCTCATTTTACATCTCTCTGAAGTAGACACGTAAGTTGTAGGATAAGGTACTCTTTAACCATACGGTTACCCAACTATTGCAATAGCCGTACCTATTCAATTTCACTAGTACCGCAATATACTTTCATTCATCCGATCTTTGGCTCGGATACGAAACCTCCCTTATATACGCGCAGAGAGAGGTATGGTAAAAAAAAAGAAGATTTTATGATAATGTCAGTGTAATGTGAACACTTATGTGTTAGTGCTATAGCATTTCTGTCCAACTCAATGCTTTTTCGCTAACACATGTGTTTCAGTTCCGTCACTGAACTGGCGTCACCTTGTTATCACGCAGACGGACACGGAAGTACATGCCCGCTGAAACTCATGCATGGCTGATTGTAGTAACTATCGGATCTGTAGTTGCTAGATTTTTGTCAAACTCGATAATACTCACGGAAATGAAAAATAAACTGTTTTTTCGATCTCAGATTTTAAATAAATGCAGTTAATATACAAAATATATAAATATTCAAACAACTCAATTAGTACTAATTGGGCCTTGGCACAAATACAGTGTATCAAAGTTTTTTATGTCTTTTTACACGTAAAAGTGTGTAAAGATATGAACAAAACAGACTATTGTGAAACTGAGCATAACCAGGTGTTAGTAGATCAAGGTGAATGTCCATGACCTATGACACCATGACGACGGGTGAAGACAGGTGCTTGAAACCCACGTGCATGTGATTTGTCAGTGGTTAGTGATTTGTGAGTGGCATTGTGGGATAGTGAATCATCGCCAAAATATCAGAACGTAAAAGTAACATATCCCCTTCTCAAACAACAACTTACATGTCATTATTATTATGTACATAAACATAGCTGTTATTTTTATTGTTGTTTTGATAACTTTTTTCCAGACTAATTTGCATAATGCCTATAGCCTGTTTCTGCCATGTCAATTTGGACTTAGTTTTATTTTTGAATGTTGAAAGTGCCTACAAATTACCTCCTGTAAAGTACATTTTGTATTGAACGCTGAGATAAAACTAGCAAATCCAGACTAGTACTTTTCCAGTTGTTTTGTTATTTCGTATTTACATCTACGTAATGCTTTGTGTCGATTATTAAATCCAGTAAAACAGGTTTTTTTCATTTCCATGAGTACTTTAATTTCTCATTCAAGTGCTTATACGTAGAACACTTGATAATAGTTTGAATTGCTATTTCCATACAAAATATGAAAACATAAAACTCTAACGATTGAAAACTTCATTTATCTAACATGAAAGCACGATATCGAGTATCAACCAACATTATGAAAACCTGTGCACATATATATAATCAACGTCACATAATATTTCGTTTCGTAAAAGAATCGTATTTCGTATGTAATCCATTCTACGTTTTTAATTCATCTACAGTGCGGTTTCCGCTTCCGGTGAGATTCCAACTCAACATGGCTGCCGACGTACTGTGGGAAGACAGAGATGTTCGATTTGACATAAATCCTAGGTAGAGTTCTGTCATCTATAGCTTCACACGGTGGCGCAAATATATATCTAATCCAGTTTCTTTCAGTGAAGAAAGTGACCTTCGAAATCAGTCCTATATCTTGTTCTGTTTGTGGATTGTTTTGGTAACTAATGCAAACACACTATATCAGTCAGTTTGGGGACCATAGAAAACAAGATGCTACAACATTATTGTGCTGAAGTAAGCAGCGGAACAATCGTTATTTAAAAAGACCTTTATCTCAAAGTGTCGTCGCGTATGTTGCAAGGGGGATATCTGATCATTCTTCTTGGGGTGGGGTCTTGACCGCCTCAGTTGTCTTGTGGTGTCCAGAGAGCGGACGGTCATGGGTTCGAAGCCTGCCCACGTCATACCAAAAGACGTTCAAAGATAGTACTTGTTGTTACCCAGCCTAGTGCTTGACATGTAGCGTCTTAAGCCAGCACTGGTCGACTCAGAGTCCGTTTACTGTGTGACAGTGTGTCGGAGTGGGGTATTCATGTAAAACTGTAGCATGGTATCTTAGTGGGCGAGAACTATATAATCGGCATTATCCCAGACTAGTACAAGCAGCTACACACACACACATGTACATGCACATTGCTGTGTGAGTACAAAAATCTTGGACGCAAAGTTAGCCACATATCACCACACCCCATCTTTGCCATTGACTGCCACTGAAACTCATGTTCAGTCCTCTGTGCTAATTAAAATCTAAGAAAGTGTGCCTGGTAAAATGCTGTACTCCCATATTTGTGAATAGTGAATATTTCATGTTTTAGTCTCACATAAATTATTCGCGTGTAGAGTATTACTATTGTAGGAATATGATGGAACTGTATTATTAGAGACATTGTAAGAATTCTCACCATTAGGCAATAGACATATAGCATAAGTGGATCCAGAGGGCGGGGCGGGGGGACTTCACACCACACCCCTCAACCCCCTTTTGACAACCAAATGTATGTTTGAGGCAATAAAATTGACTGTGAGATGATTTTGATATTTTGGACCCCTCCCTTTTAAAACTGCTGAATCCGCCCTTGCATATAGACATGATATGTGTAGAAATATTGCTGTTTCATAAAATAACATTTTGTTTCTGTACTAATCAGTAGTCACATAGCCAAGTGATCTCACCTATTCTCTTTCCAGTCAAATGCGAATGCGACCAGGAGAGAAACTGATTGATAGACTTGATGCAGTGGAAGACACCAAAGGAAACAATGGCGAGAGAGGTAAGTGTTGAATTCATCTGCATGTTTAAGTAAATATATACTTGTCAGATCACCCCTATGGTACAGTCAGTCTTCAGACAGTATAGGCTCCCAGCAACCCATACTAGCAACTCTCCTGAATCGGGAGTAATATAACTTCAAATTTAAAGTCAATTTGTCACTAATATGAAGCTGATAATCATGCACTAAAAGTCAAATCTTAAATATATGGCAATATATATCAAACATTCAAATTAATTTCCATTTTTGTACTTTTGTGACATGCTTATCACAAAATATAAATTGTGAATTGATGTATGATGTGGCTCATTATGAATGTGCATGTCATTTCTGCACAGGTCGATTGCTGGTTTCTAACTTGCGGATCATCTGGCACTCCATGTCAGTCCCAAGAGTCAACCTGTGTAAGTAGCAACAATCAGGCAGAGTTGGTCGCAAAGAGTAGTCAGAAGGGTGACCGTCTTTCAAACGTTTCGGTACTGCGCCACACTGAAAGACACTACATGTGGTGTCGCCTTAGAAAGGTCACTTTGTTTTGAAATCTGCCTCTGCTCTCCCAGCCGTGAATGGGTACCTGGTAGAATGTGTGAAATCTGCCTCTGCTCTCCCAGCAGTGAATGGGCACTTGGTAGAATGTTTAAAATCTGCCTCTGCTCCCTCAGCAGTGAATGGGTACCTGGTAGAATGTTTAAAATCTGCCTCTGCTCTCCCAGCAGTGAATGGGTACCTGGTAGAATGTTTGAAATCTGCCTCTGCTTTTCCAGCAGTGAATGAGTACCTGGTAGAATGTGTGAATAAAGACCTTCAGCACCTTACAATGAAACTTGAATACTCCCCATGAGAATGTAATCTGTGTGCACATTGATCCATCAACCAGGATTATAACATAGGGCGCCATGAGCATGAACTTGATGAATGGAATCTGATGCTTTATAAATAGAATTATTGTTGTCCTTACTATAAATGCATTAAATAAAATACATGTATAAACATATAACATCCCATGATGATCCGGGGTAGAATAGGTCTTCAGCAACTCATGCTTGCCGTAAAAGGCAACTGCTTGTTTTAGAAGCGATTAACTTGGATGATGCATGTCGTTGGTTGGTTGGTTTGTTGTTTTATGCCGCACTCAGCAATATTCCAGCTATATGACGGCGGTTTGTAAATGACCAGACAATCCAGTGATTAATATCATGAGCATCGATCCACGCAATTGGGATCGATGACATGCATCAACCAAGTCAGCGAGCCTGACCACCCGATCCTGTTAGTCGCCTTTTACGGCAAGCATGGGTTGCTGAAGACCTATTCTACCCCGGATCTTCACGGGTCAGGATGATGCATGTCATCACATCCCATTTGCGTAGATCGATGCTCATGATGTCAGTCACTGGATTGTCTGGTCCAGACTCAATTAGTTACAGATCACGGTCATATAGTTGGAATATTGATGAGTGCGGCACTAAACAACAAACAAACTAACCTCAACATATAACATACATGAATCTTGTGTCATTACCAACTGCGGATATCCCAGCTAGCTGTGCAGAGTTGTGTCCCTTGGGCATGTTTTCTTTGTTTACCCACTCATTACCATGCTTCCTATGGGGATTCAGGGGGGGAATGTAGGTTCCCAGCAACTTATAGATGTAGAAAGAGGTGACTAAGTTGATCGGGTTGTCAGACTCTGTGATTGCGATGTCATTGTATCCCAATCAAGTAGATCGATGCATGTGATGTCATCCACTGTAGGGCAGTGAGGTAGCCACGGGTTCAGATCCCGACATGGGTATAATGTGTGAAGCCCATTTCTGGTGTCCCCCGCCGTGATATTGCTGGAATATTGCTAAACGCAGCGTAAATCAATACTCACTCATTCACTCATCCACTGTATTGCTGGTCCAGAATCTATTATTCACAGACCACCAACATATAGCTGGAATATCGCTGAGTGCAGCAAACAAATAAACAAACATGTTCAGATTTACTTGATGTACATGACCATAATATCAGACTTCTTTTAATGAGGAATATTTTCTTAATAATTATTTTTCTGTTTTAGCTATTGGTTTCAACTGTGTCATCAACATATCGTCCAAACAAGCACAGTCGGTAAGTTGAGTTAATGTTGTCACACTTGTATTGATAAAAAAAATGGTTAATTGAGCATGTTGATTAGGTAACATAGGTACAATTAAGCAGATGAGGTGACAAGATCTTTTGAAAATTGTAACTGTTTGTCCTCGATCAAGCATGGCCGAACACCATTCACAGTGAGACTTGGTGTCGTCATCGAATTAAGATAATTCAAAATAACCATGATAATATTCTTCTACAACAGCAATCTGTTCTCCAGTTAATGACAATCAGTTGCATGAGTTCTTGTGTCTGAGAGAAGTTAGTAGTGGGACGAAACACCAATGAATCGGTGGATCACGATGTTGTACTTCTCGATACAAGTATCGATCACAATCACACACTAAGTAAACAGTTTTGATTCTTACTTTAAATATATTCTTTAATAATTGTTACACCAAACACTAATTACTAGTCAAAATGAGTAGTTAAAACATAAATATTTTCATCTATTGCACCATACTTGACACTTCCAACGACCGCCTCCGTGCTCTAGTGGTAGAGCGTCCGCCCGGAGAGCGGAAGGTCCGGGGTTCGATCCCTGGCCGCGTCATACCAAAAGACGTTAAAAGATGGTACTTGTTGTTAGCCTGTCTGGCGCTCGGCATTAAGGGGCTAAAACAAGGACTGGTCGGCTCGGAGTCAGTATACTGTGTCTGAATGGGGTATTCATGTTAAACTGCGGCATGGTATCTCAGTGTGCTAGCACTATAAATCGGCATCAGTCCGGACTAGTACAAGCAGCCACTCAAACACATACACGTACATGCACGTCGCTATATAAGTGCAATAATCTTGGACGCGACGTTAAACCCAATTTCACTTCACTTCACCTCACCTGACACTGCCAACTGTAAATTGTTAGTGTGCCAGGTATTTGGCCATCCTGTCTGTGAGAAGGATGGCTTAGGGACAACAGATAAGAGCACATACAAGTATCGTGATACATTTTAGATTGTGAGGAAGGTATCGTGATATGTTTCGGATGGCACAGTTGGTGTATCGTCCCACCCGTGGTAGAAATACTGTATGCCGTCCTGGCTCTATACTGAAAGTGAAATAACACAAGTGTACAAACATTCCTCCAATACACATGTGTCAGACAGATGAAGCGCCGTCATTGCTCACTTATCCTGCTCTGGAGCCGTGGGACCTGCCACTAGTCCTCAATGTGTGACCATGATATGCCATTATTATTTGACAAGCTGTCAAACTGCAGGGTTGAAATACTTTGTATTCGACACATAAGAGTGCAGGGTTGTAATGATGCTTTCACAAACTCTGTATGTCATGTTTAATGAGACATTTCCAGGGATAATTCTAGGGTGGAGCCATGTGCTTTTATCCCCTTAATTTGAAAAAGGCCAACATTTTCAAATACAATGGGACATTTAAACATTGTGCTGTATGGGGGTACCTCTGGAATATTTGAAATTTTCATATAGAGGCCCCATGTCAGAAAATTCCTAGAGTGAACCCTGCATTTCTGTTGTATTTTTTCTGCAATGTTACCTCAAACAGATGTTGTTTGCGATTTAGAAGTTGTTCTGATTTTTTTCTCTAATTTCAGAAACTTAGAGGCACTACCGAGGCGTTGTTTGTCTTAACAAAAGCTGGTGCAACAAGATTTGAATTCATTTTTACAAACTTGGTGAGTTTGATTATTGTTAAAAATTGCTGTCATTTTAAGTTGCAGTGAAAATTTGGAGATATCATACTACCAAAATAATTGTATTTGTTGTTTTAGGGGGGGATCTTTAAAAATATAATTACAGATATCACCAATCCCAACAAAACAAAGTGCAAAATATTGATAAATGTAAAGAAGATATTTTTTCTTCACAAAGACATCTGCATAAAGCATTACAGCAAGTTAAACAACAAGCTTATGTTTAACTGAGACAAGCTTATCTTGATATGCTGTGCTCAGGGCAACATATTCAGTTACCTATTGAGGAACAAGAGAGGAAATATGAATACCAGTATTGTTTTACCTGTTAAGAATACCGGGACAAGAATAAGGAATAGTTAATAGCAAGGGAGGTAAAACTGACTATAAAAGTCCAGTTTCCACCCTTGCCGAACTAGGCTGGAATTTCGTGGCTTGATGTAGCACCACCAGTGGCTATTACGAGTTATGTCCTTTCTATATCCCTGATATTGACCAATCAGATTCCACCTCTCATATCACATGTATTTGCTTCAATCAAAATGGCGGTGTCCAGTCAAGATGATCTGATCAATAATCAAGTTCTAAATTGTAATAAAACGATCTTATCTCCTGAAGTACATCAAATCACGTGACCACCTTGATTAAAAACGTGAAAAGATTTGGAGAATATCTGTCAATGCCAGCATGTCAATTCTGTTACGAGATTTTGTTTGGACTCAGCCAAAATATAACTCCATTATTCCAGCCTAGTTTGGCAAGGGTGGAAATTGGACTTTTATGGTCAATTAACTCTCTTGCCTCAGGAGATGTAATATCGAGGCCCAAAACCTTTCATATTTACAGCATACTTAACGAAAAAAATGTTTAGGGGGGAAATTTTTATGAAATTGTGTGCTCAATCTTCACTTCAAAACAATCACCACCTAAATATTTATGATCCCTTATGTTTTTTGTTCACTGTATTACTGATGTCTCCATCCTTCATCATGTTCATCGTCAGCACCCATTGATTTGTGTTCCTCATCATCTGTGATCATGGCTGATATGGGGTGAATGCACTTTATAATTCCCAGCATATAATGCGGGGGATTTAGTCATCATCTGGTGTGTGCATATTTCATTTCCGGAGCATAACTTGAAAATTTGTGAACGATTTTTCATCCAAACTTGGTACCTGTATTAACCAGGGGCTGAAGTGGTGCCTTTTGCTGTTGTGGGGGTCAGGGGGGATTTGTCATCTTCTGATGACTCTGGTTTAGTCGGGCAATGAAATGAGGCAGTGTGTATGTAACTCACAGAAGTCCTGTAAGCCTGACCTTGTGCATGTACTTGGTACTTGGTACTTGTATTAACCTTCCTTAACCGTATCAGCTGATAATGAGTTTGAATTCCAGATTTGTCCTGACAATGATTCTTGGTTTATCAGTTCAATGGTCATTCGTAGCCTCACTCCTGGCTTTGCACTACATTCAGTAAAGTCCTCCATGGGCTGGAATACTTTTCAAAGATGTCTTTATGCTACATCCCTTACCTATGCATCCCATGAAGACTCTGGGTTAGAATTGGTCTTCAGCAACCTATGTTTGTCGTAAGAGGAACCTAACTGGATTGGGTGGTCAGGCTTGCTAATTCATGTCATCGTATACCAATTCAGCAGATCTATGCTCATGATGTCAACCACTGGATTATCTGGTCCAGACTTGATTATTTGCAGACAACCATCATATAGCTGGAATATTGCTGAGTGTGGCGTTAAACAACAAACAAACAAACAACACTGACCTGTGCATGTGCTGTTCCAGGAGTCAGTGCTATTCTGATGTTTGCTGTTTCAGATACCCGGGTCTCCACGGCTCTTCACCTCAATCATAGCAGTTCACAGGTAGGTTCAGACATCATCCTCACTGATCCAGGGTATAATATCGCCATTCTATTAGGATAAATACCCTGGGCTCATTTATGACCTAAGCTGAACTTACATTGGGATGAACATTTAGTGTCCTCTGTTGAGGTTTCCTCGTGTAAGAATACATGTACACACGCATCAACATGTGTAGCTTCTCTGTGCCCTAGTGGATAGAGCGTCTGCCTAGAGCACAGAAGACATTACAAAATGGTTCTTGTTGTTACCCTGTCTGGCATTGGCATTAAGGTGCTAAAACAAGGACTGGTCAGGTCGGAGTCAGTATCCTGTGTCTCTGTGTTGTATTCAGTATACTGTGTCAAGTGTGGGGTATTCATTTATATATAAAGGGGCTAAAACAAGGACTGGTCAGGTTGGAGTCAGTATACTGTGTCTCAAAACCCATTCAAAACTTCTTACAAAACTTTGCATGTCTACCAGGCACATACTCAACTGGTACCTTTTGCTATTACGGGTAAGTAATTTTAGAAATTTTTATTTTTTACGTTTCCATGGCAACAAGTTGGACTTAGGTTCTATAAGGGTGGTGTTCATTTCCGGAGCGTAACTCAAAAACTGTTAAATACTTTCTTACAAAACTTTGCATGTCTACCAGGCACATACTGAACTGGTGCCTTTTGCTACTTAGGAATTTTTTTATTTTTTTTTATTTATATGTTTCCATGGCAACAAGTTGGATTTAAGTTTTAATATAGGGTGGGTTCACTTATGGAGTATAACAAATAAACTGTTGAATATTTCCTTGCCAAACATTGCATGTCTATATATAAAGCACATACTGTACTGGTGCCATTTGATATTAAGGAGTTTTAGAAATGTTTATTTTAGAATTTCCATTGGTTGATGACTTGGTTGATGCATGTCATCGATCTTAATTGCATGGATCGATGCTCATGATGTCAATCACTGGATTGTCTGATCCAGACTCGATTATTTACTAACCGCTGTTATATAGCTGGAATATTGCTGAGTGCGGCGTTAAACCACAAACAAACAAACAAATTATTGAAAAAAGTGTCATTTCTTATGTCCTTATAACTATAGTATGAATGACTTAGGATTTCAGCAAGACCAGTCATGTCATCCATAAATACACAATATGATAATTGTAAGGTTTCCAGAACCCCTTTTAATTTCAAACACCAACAAAGTTATTAAGATGAGACGTAGCATTAAGAATTTTAAATATTGTGTGAGCGATGCCCTGATTGTATCCTTCATCACAGGGCATATGAAACATAGTGTGAGTGATGCCCTGATTGTATCCTTCATCACAGGGCATATGAAACATATAGTGTGAGCGATGCCCTGATTGTATCCTTCATCACAGGGCATATGAAACATCGAAGTTGTACCGTGACCTGAAGCTGCGCGGAGCCCTGATACAAGAAAAGCACCTGCGCCTCCTACCCCAGGAACAGATCTACAACCAGGTGAACGGTGTGTGGAACTTGTCCAGTGATCAGGTACGTGGGAGTGTCTAGGGGACACCTTTTTCTTTTTAAGCTTTGTATATAAATGCAAAAATACGAAAATGAAACGAATTATATATTTATTGGCCAAACCACTCTATATTCAATGGATTAGAAAAATACAACTTCCAAAATCTTACAAATATACAATGTTTACTTCAAGGATAAGAATTGATTACATACAAACTGTATGTTGTACATACCAGTTGTCTATGGCCGCTGTTCGTGTAAACCTCTTTTATCATGAGAAAACAAAACCACAGACAGAAGTAAATACATGAACATGCAACATTAGTAGTGATGGTACTGGCCAATCTGTAATTGGTTCTGAACTTGAATTGAAAAAACCTTCCCTCTCACATATTTGCCAACTCCATAGTCGGCCATTTTGTTGGATGGCGTTGTGGTCACAATGCATGTGTAGTAGACTCATACACCATGTACACAGGAATCTGGTCGCAAATAGTTTCACTTTTTTTTTATCCCAGGAAACAGTTGTTAATTTCATAATTTCAAATATACTTCTTACTGAAGTAAACTTTGCCAACAAGTTGAAAATATGCATGATTCTAAGAAGCACAATATTCCAGTATTTTCCAAACGTATTATGTACATATTTATTAGTGTATCATATCGTGGTATGCTGTAGGTTTGGAAGGCTTGGTGTCCAGTATTAAACTAAAGTAACGGTATATTGCAGTACAATTATCATGATTATCGCAATATTAATATATGAAAATATAAATTATAATACTATCTTGAGGCATTTGGATGGACTGGGTTCCTATCTAAACCATGTAAACAGCACATGCTTCACACTGTTTACATGAGCATTCCATATTGATGACGTAAAAGGTCGTCTCATTTATCTATACCACCCATCCTGTCATCTGAAGTCTGGACTATTGAATGAAAAAGTATGATTTGAACAGTGAAAAAAATACAAAATTTGGGCCAAAATACATATTGCAATATGTATCACAATACAGCTGTCCATATTGCGATGTATTGCAGTGCGGTTTATGTGCCATTATGCCTACCCTAGTATACCAGTAATACCCCGCACCTACCATTATCAATACTCCACCCGACCTGTAAAGATCTGGTGTAGAATAGATCCTCAGCAACCCATGCTTGCCATAAAAGGCGACTATGCTTGTCGTAAGAGGCGACTAACAACGTCGGGTGGTCGGGCTCGCTGACTTGGTTGATGCATGTCATCTATCTCATTTGCTCATATTGTCTGGTACAGACTCGATTATTTTACAGACCGCCCTCATATAGCTGGAATATTGCCGAGTGCGGCGTTAAACAACAAACAAAACAAACAAATAATACTCCACACTACATTCCTCAATCACCAGTCACTACAAAAGATTGCTTAACACTGTAGAAGTAAGGCATCTTCCTGAGACAAGGGAGTTAACTGACTGTAAAAGTCCAGTAGGCTTGAATTTCTGGGCTTGATCGTAGTGCCGTCAGTGGCTATTACAAGTTATGTCCCTTCTCTTGTCCTTCCTGACCAATCAGACTCTATCTCTCATATCACTTGCATTAGCTTCAAGCAAAATGGCAGCACCCAGTCAAGGCTATCTGATCGATAATCAAAATCTATATTGTTATAAAATGGGTCTTACTTCACAAAGTGCATCAAATCATGTGATCACCTTGATTAGAAACATGAAAGGATTTTGGAAAATATCTGTTGTTGGTACACATGCTTTGCAAATACTGCAAGCGACCGAAATCTGCACGGCAGTTTACAAACCTGTTGACGATTTAGCTACACAATTTTGATTGGACTATGCATTCTCATTAGTCCAGCCAAAATTCCAGCCTAGTTCCGCAAGGGTGGAAACCGGACTTTTACAGTCAGTTAACGCCTTTGCATTGGGAAGATGCCAGCTAAGGGGGAAACTAGTGAATGCTGGGTGTTAGAGGTGACTATATGGATCTGATGGTCAGGCTGGCTGGGTGACCTGGTTGAGTGGGTGTCCTTGTACCCCGATGACGTAGATGGTTGCTCACACTATCAATCACTGGATTTTCTGGTTCAGTTCCAATTATTTACAGACCATCATCATATAGCTGGAATATTGCCAAGTTTGGCGTTATACAGCAAACCAACAAACTAGGACCAATGAATGCTCTGTTTTTAACGTAGACCTCAATGTTTCATCTTGACACTGAACTGTACACATTGCTTTGATAGCAGGCAACGGCAGGGTTCACACATAGGTTATGCACATAGTAGGGCTTATTTAACTTCTGTTGGTTGCACCTGGCCTCGTTGTCGTTAGCGGACTATAATTAGACCCGTGTCACCATTGTACCATGTATGCATGGGTTATGGAATATACTCACCAACAAAAGAAACATGAATACAGTACATGTTGGTTAATATTCAAGAGATATTAGATTGGTTTGATGCACAAATGAACATGCTGGTATGTTGTGTGAACCGACGCTCATGAACGTATCACACGTGACATCATGGATCCATGACTTGAGACGTGCCATTTGTCTTGTGTAAAGTAGCGTGTAAGTTTTTGAAATCGTATGCAGCGTATCATGGTAAGAAAAAAGACACTGTGGTAAAGCTTGGCTGATTGTTAGCTTTGTCATTAATTGGTACAAGTTGGAAACATCGCTTTTTAATGTACTTCTCTCTATGTTCCTATGGTTTGCGTTTCTTTTGGTGGTGAGTATGTACACAACCCCGCGAAGTATTGATGATGATGTGCGTGGTGCTGTAGACATTGTACCCATCATGCACTTTCAGATATTTTAGTTTCGGTAACCGTTTGACGTGTCTTTCCCAGAAATATTTTCTTTCTTTGAATCAAGAAACAATGGATTGAACCAAGTTTCAAACTTCACAAGATTTTCTTTGTACTTTTTTGTCATGTTTATTGTATTTTTACTTTTATTCTTCAATATTTATCAAATGTATACCTAGACATGACACCATAATAGGCAATCTGTCATTACCTAACAGGGGAACTTGGGAACCTTCTACATCACTAACGTGAGGCTGGTGTGGCACGCCAACGTGAATGAGTCATTTAATGTCAGCATACCCTACCTGCAAATGGTAAGTCATTTAGTGTTAGCATATCCTACCTGTACAGATGGGGCGGTCGGGTAGCCTTGTGGTTAAAGCGTTCACCTGGGTTCGATTCCCGACATGGGTATAATGTGTGAAGCCCATTTCTGGTGTCCCCCGCCGTGATATTGCTGGAATATTGCTAAAAGCAGCGTAAAACCACACTCACTCACTCTGTCACTCACCTGTACAGACTGATTGTTACTTATCAGTTTCGTAGAAAGCTGTGACGTTGTTTCAGATTTGAAGAGGAAGGAAAATGATGATGAAAGAGCTTGGGTACTAATGTCAGTTTTTAATGACTGCTCTACATCTGTTATTTCATAACTATTTTCTCAACTACCTTTGTTCAATATCTAAATATATAAATATAGGTGCTGATTTGACCATATGGTTGTCATTAAAAGTAGAATTTATTATTTATATTGTAATACTTACTGATTGTTGTCAATCTCTTTCTTCAGAAAACTGTGAAAATCCGGGATTCCAAGTTTGGACTGGCTCTTGTAGTAGAGACCTCCACAATGGTTGGTGCCTTCTTGTCTGGCCTGTGTGATAACATGCACTCCCATTGATTCCCGCCCTCGGACTAATGTGTGTAGGCAAGATTCCAGTTGCTGCAAATTGTTATGCAGAGTAAACACGTGAAGATGGGGATCAGAATAGGTCTTCAGCAACCCATGCTTGCCGTAAAAGGCGACTATGCTTGTCGTAAGAGGTGAATAACGGGATCGGGTGGTCAGGCTCGCTCACTTGGTAGATGCATGTCATCGTATCCCAATTGCGTGGATCAATGGGCATGGTATCAGTCACTGGATTGTCTGGTCCAGACTTGATTATTTACAGACTGCCGTTATATAGCTGGAATATTGCTGAGTGCGGTGTTGAACAACAAACAAACAAACAAACAACCATTATGCAGAGTTACATCCCTTGGCTTCCAGGATTTGCTGTGTGTGTTTGAATACTGATTAAACCTTGTTTATGAATCCTAGTTAAATCTCAGGTGGAGATCATGGCAAGGCAATTAGTTTGCATGGGCACTGTGCTTGGGTCTATTTTGTAGTTATTGATATTTCAAAAGCCTTAAATTTTATGGTCAAAACATAATTTTGCAAAATATGTTTATCTCTATCCAAATGATCCCTTAATAAGTGGAAACTGTAGGACTTTTTGCAATGTTTGCTGCTTTAGAAATATCACAAAGGAAATTATTATTGAGAAACAGCAGACACTTTGGACTTTGCAACGTTACAGGACACACCATGAATGAAACGTTGTGTTCATCAGTGTTTACTTTAGGCATGCCACCTACTCACTGTTTTCTGCGTTCTCTCGTCACACCGAAGGCCTGGGTTTGATTCCACACATGTGTACAATGTGTGAAGCCCTTTTCTGGTGTCCCCCACCGTGATATTGCTGAAATATTGCAGCGTAAAACCATACTCACTCACTCACTCACTGTTTTCTGAAGGTCATGAGTGGTCCTGTTATCTAGACGCCACAATTCAATGTACAGAGCTGCCTCCCTTAAGTGCTCCTAAAACAAATCTTGGGTTTGCATTCTGGTTCACCTCGCTTGTTTCTAGGTTTATGTGCACCATGCTTGTACTCTTGTTTTCGCCTCTTGTAAACATCTAAGACCTGCATCAATTCAGGCTTTCCTCTTACATCAAGGTGACACACTGTCATATAACTGAAATACTGTTCAAAGCGGCGTTAAACTTGCTTATGTTCAGTGTTGTTTAACTTAAACATTCCTACCACTCAGAGTTATCTGAGGTGGCACAATGGCCTACATGGTCTGAGGCCCGACTTTCATTGTGCAGTTAGCCGTTAATTGTACCACAAGTCACTTATTGTGAGATATAATGCCAGACTCCCTCTGTGTTGATCCTAGGTTTGTCAGCACCATACCCATGGGTTTCAAAGTGACAAACACATATAATCTGTGTCACTTTAGGCTTTCCCCGATCATTAGGCTGGCTGCTAACTTAAATACAGGTCAAAGCAGCATTAAACTCACTCACTCGCTCATTCACTCACTCACTCACCCACTCACACACTCACTCACTCCTCTGTTGTCCAATGTTCAGAGGGGACACGGGTGGCCCAATCGACTAAGGTGCTGCAGTTCGCTGTGCAGAGTTGCGTCCCTTGGGAACGCCAGAAACCTGTGGTTTGGGTTCAAATCCCAGTTCGCCCCGCTTATGTTTTAGGTTTGTTGACTCAAAGGTTTCACCAAAACGCCTGAGACATGCATTACTTTCCTCCCATACTAAGCTGACATGCCGGAATACTGTTCAAAATGGCGTTAAACCCAACTCACTCACTCACTCACTCACTCATGTTCTGCTGACAGAGCGGGGGCTACGTCCTGGGGTTCCGGATCGACCCGGTGGAGAAGCTGAAGGATACAGCCAAGGAGATACAGAACCTCCATCGCGTGTACAGCTCCTGTCCCATATTTGGTGTGGAGTTTGAGACAGACTCTAAGGTAGGAACCACACACCAGTGTTTAAAATACCCGACGACGCTGCTGTTTTTGTTTTGCATGGTCAACTTTTAAAACATGGATGCCTGGTGATCTTGCTCATTTGTTGTTGGTAATTAAGTTAATAACATGAAGGGTATGAACTTACATTGTGAGTGGCATCAAGATAATTACCCACTATAAATATGTCGCAGAAAACATGCAATAATTATTCCATGTAGATCAACAATGCCTTATCCATTGTTATCAGCTGATGGTACCTGACAGCTTTATAAAAGTCGTTACCGATTGGCTCAATTTGTAGTCTTCATACAATCAAAGCCCACTTCAAGCCATCCAATTCTTTTTCACATTTTTCTGTCAGAACATCCATCATGACAAGTGAAAAAATTCTCTTGGGGCCAAGACCTGATGAAAATTATTTTTTTCCAGCCTTTGAACAAAATATTCCTTCCCCTTACTGACTGATTTGTTCACCAGTTTACTGGTTCTATGAATTGTAGAGTAATGGATCCACTGTTTCAGCCCCAGACGATGGAGGAGTTGACCCTGGAGAGAGTGACAGATGATGTGGAGATTGAGAATGATGGAGGCACCGATGCATTTGCTGTAAGTAGTGGTCAGGAGTGACATGAGTGAGTGAGTATTGTTTTACGCTGTTTTTAAGCAATATTCCAGCAAAATCAAGGCAGGGCACACCAGAAATAGGCTTCACACATTGTACCCATGTCGGGAATCTAACCCAGGTCTTCGGCATGACCACTAGGCTACCCGACTGCCCCTGTAGTGACATGAAGTGAAATGTCAAATCAATGCCAGCCAGTCATTATCTGCTTTTCAACTCCCCTACATCACTTCAGTTAACTTTCTAATCATGTTGAGGCTTCGAAATGAAAGAAACGCTCGGAGCAGCATTTCTTAATTTTGTATCTCCAAAACAAATGTAAACAAACAGTTCCAAAGAGGCAACTAACAGGATCGGGTGGTCAGGCGCGCTGACTTGGTTGATGCATGTCATCGTATTCCAATTGCTTGGAATGATACTCATGATGTCAATCACTGGATTGTCTGGTCCAGACAGTATTATTTTCAGACCACCGTCATATAGCTGGAATATTGCTGAACATGGCATTAAACAACAAACAACGAACCAAATAAAATATCTGATTTTAATGAGCTTGAAACAACACAAAATGACCAACTTTTCTCCAGTATTTTCAAAAGATAACACAAAGAGTAACTCAATTTAGAACTGGTTTACTCAGTCAAATATCTGTCTTCAGAGTAACACAAGTTGGTTTTGATCTACTCGGTCAGAGATCTGTCTTCAGAGACTAAGATGACCCTGTGTTTCAGGCCTACTTTGCTGATGGGGACAAGGAGCGGGACCGAGAGCCTGTGTACTCCGAGGAACTTGGTCTGGCAGTGGAGAAACTCAAGGACGGCTTCACCCTGTCTGGCCTCTGGGAGGTGTTAGCGTGATCGCCTGGTCTCAGTCACCATGGCGACTGTCTGGTCTGTTATCATGGTGACTGTCTCTTCTCTGTCACCATGGCAGCTGGCCTGTTACCATCGCAACTGGTCTCGGCATGATGGATAATCTGGTCTCTGTTACTATGACGACTGTCTGGTCTCCGGAAGGCCATGGTGACGAGCTGGTCTCTCGTAAGAAGGGGATGACCCTGGCTTCATCCCAGGAAGCGGACACCAGAAAACATTTGTTTAAGATTGCAGCAGGTCATGTCCCATTGTCTGTTTACAGGGCATCTCTTGTACAGTTTTGGTTGGAAATATTTATCATGTTGATGTACGATTGACCAAGTGTCTTACAAGCTGAATGTATCAATACCAGTATAATTATGACACCTAAATATTTGCTGCTAAGCATCAGACAATTTTCATAACATTATTTTGTATGTTGCCAACATACTTTGACACATGTAAGTCTTTGTAAACAAATAAGGCTGTAAATATGATAAATATGGTTGTCCCCGGATGATAATATGTAAAATGATTGAAATCTTTCTCAACATATTCAAAAGATTAAGATCTGTTTTGAACTTACAAGTGCAATCTGTCATATGCTATTTCATCATTGTGTTATCATACCTCTGTTAAGAATCTTGCAATTCCATTGGTTAATCTGTACCATGTGACGAAACACTACATTTGAACGTTGACCCCCAAATCATGTGACTAAAACTGACCTCGAATATTGCCTCGTCACATGATCAGTATGGACTGTCACGTGATGACCATTGACGCATCTGCTCGAAAACCAGATGGCGTCTGGTACTTACATTTCACGATTTGCAGCCAAGTTACTATAATGAAACTGAGGATGGTGTAACGGATTCATAAACTTTACAGTGAATTTCGGTATAACAAAGCGGTTAATTACTTTTGACGAGGTTAGATTGTGTATACAAGGACCCTTTGACCCGACTCCCCATGACAGATTCACTGTCGTAATATATGACTCAAGTCAATCTCATTAAAATCAGATGTTAGTTCTCGCTACCGCTAAACAAAGATCTGAGGACATCCCATTAAGGGTCACGTCAGACCGACCTTGTGCGAACTTTGACCGACCGATAGAAGGACTGACAAGAGGTCAACATTAGCCAATCAGAAGGCAGCTTTCTCGTGCTTTACGGCACTAATTTCATATTGGCGACTACGCTTCGAAACATATTTTGACAAATTCTTCATTACAAATTTGAAACCTGAACAAAAGAACATTCTGGAATGGCTAATAGATGGTCTACATTGTATGGATTCAGTGTTAAACCCGTAACTATCGGAATATCCGGTGTTAAAGCTTTCGAGGTTGCATTATAAGAATTCTTCCGAATGTCACTTTCATGATCTGGTAAGCGACGCTCTGATTGGTTGGATGAAAGGTAATGACCCGTAATGGGATGTCCCCAGATATTTGTTTGGTGGTAGCGAGAACTAAGATCCGATTTTAATGAGATTGGACTCATGTGGTCCATAACTTCTTTTGAGTAGTACTATAATAGTATTTACAAGTGTTTGCCTGGGATCAGGAAGTATACATGTTTAAGTGGCTGGCTGATGTAGATTGTTGTGTTTTTACCTCTGTTGAACCCTGGCATACGCCCACACAACTTTAATTACTTGTTTGACTTACTCTTCAGCCATTTAAAAAAATGTGAAAACTTTTGTAACCAACTGGTTACAGGAAATAGTCATGTAAACTTATATCACAATGTTGACATTGTCAGTGTTTGTTCGTCCTGCTCACTCCAGCAAATACGAAAGTTCAGCATTTTTTCTCGCAAATTGTGTTTCACAGAAAAATAATATGGTTTGCGGACATGAAGTAATTGATTTTTTTATTTAATTTTTCCTCCTGCATCCAGGTATATTTTGGTAAAAAAAAAGTGTGCCACAGGTATTTAAATATGAGTGGCTTAATGCCTGATTTTTCACATATTTTGTAAGTTTTTCAGGATTTGTTAACTGTACATTCCGTCCAACTGAACGACACTGTGAATAGAGTATCATTGTCTGTGATATTATGTATGCTGTATCGAGAATAAACTTCGTATAAATCTCTGGCAACTGTGTGTTGTCTCTCAGCTGGGCCAGGATCCGCTTAGATTTGTCCCAGTTACAATCTCTGGTCTTTCAGCAACGTTACAATGCCCATGGGGACCGCCTCCCTACCAGTGAAGAACCAGAGTGGCAAGGTCTTCTGCAACCCATACTTGCTGTAAAAGGCGACTGCTTGTAAGACGTGAAAACGAGATCGGGTGGTCAGGCTTGGTGACTTGGTTGATGCATGTCATCGTATCCCAATTGCGCGGATCGATGCTCATGATGTCAAGCATGGTCAAAGCGTTCTTCACACGGAAGACCCGGCTCGATTCCCAACATGGGTACAACTTTTGAAGCCCATTTAAGGTGTCCCCCCTGGAACATTGCAAAAAAACTCGTAAAACCATGCTCACTCTTGTCTTTTTGTTGACCTGTGTCGTGCAGCATCACTTGAGTGTGTGATTTCAACTATAAACGTGTGTTAAGTCAACTTCAGCTGTTAGTCATGGCTTGAGCAAAACATCAAACCTACGTAAAGCCCCTGTTAATAGTTATTAGTCACTGGATTGCCTGGTCCAGAGTTGATTTTTACTGGCACCATCATACAGCTTAAATGTTGCTGAGCGTAGCGTTAAACAAAACAAAGAAACAACATAAAGCTGGATGGGTTGGTGTACCTGTGGAATTAATGTATTTCTCATACTCCCTGATGTGTAAAGGCAACAGAGGACCCCATGTGTCCCAGGGGGTATGACCAGACTTCCATCACATTCCTCCGCTCAATCGGAGGGGGCACGGGTGGCCCAGTCGTCGCGATTCGCTGTGCAGAGTTGCGTCCCTTGGGCACGCCAGAAACCTATGATTGTGGCTTCGAATCCCGGTTCGCCCCAATTATGTTTCTAGGTTTGTCAGCACCATACCCGTTCACGGGGGTTTCACCGAAATGGTAAACGTCTAAGACCTGCATCACTTGGGGCTTTCCTCCCACATTAAGGTGACACGCCGTGATATAACTGGAATAATGTTAAAAGCGGCGTTAAACCCAACTCACTCACTCACTTCACCTCGTTCGGCTGTATAAACCCACATATTTTCAATGCAACTGTCCAAAATGCGAAAAACAAGACATTATTACGAGAGGATCAAAAATCAAAATGTGGGAAAGAAAACGCATACTTCAAACGAAATTTCTTCATCATATGCCGTATTACCTCCATTAAACACCTGGCCTCTAATTGACGCCGGGTCATACGCTGTCCAAAAATTAGAAGCCGGTTTTGTAATACTGCAGCATGAAGATACGTTTCCTGCAAATGTACCCTTTGTATAACTGTAGAAGCTGGCATTCGGTAAGGTAGTGAGTTGTCACAGTGCCAGCATTAAACAGACGCCAGGCCATAATACACGTCGGCCACTAGACAACAAGACAACGGCTTGCGCGAAATTAAAAGACTCCCACGTCTAACGTTTGTGTTTGTTGTTTAACGCCGCACTCAGCAATATTCCAGCTATATGACGGCGGTCTGTGAATAATCAAGTATGGACCAGACAAACCAGTGATTGACATGAGCATCAATCTACGCAGTTGGGATAAGATGGCATGCATCATCCAAGTCAGCGGGCCTGACCACCCAACCCCGTTAGTCGCCTCTTACGACAAGCATAGTCGCCTTTTACGGCAAGCATGGGTTGCTGAAGACCTATTCTACCCCGGATCTTCACCGTTCCCCGCGTCTAACAGAAGAATACGACAGAAATGACATGGTTATGTGCAAAAAGGACATTTTCAACATGACTTTCTTTTTCTGCTGGATGTGCGGTAAGGACAAATAATAACCTCAAAATAATCTCAGTCTTAGATGAGTGAGTGAATGTTGTTAACGTTACCAACAAGAATATTTTATCTACAGCGTCGTGTATATAACCAAGTCTAGACCCTAACAAGCCAGTGATTGATACTGCGCACAATGACACACAATCAACCATGACCTGGCTTTTACGATAAACAGTAGGGCTGCAACGAATACACTATGAGGCGAATACGATTCATATCACGAATATAGGGTAACGAATACGAATATTAATTAACAATTATAATAACAAGTCAGCAGTTTATGTATTATTTATTATATTCAGTAAAGCAATAACATAATTTATTTGACATGGTTTGTTAATTATTAATAAATTATACATTTATATACTCCACTTATCCTGGTACTAGTATCTGCTCAAATGTGACAATTACCAGTGAAAACAATACTATCAAATTAAATATTATTAGAGTGTTGTTATTGAAAGAATCTATGCATACAATATGTTGTTATGGATATTTTTAGGTACAGGGTATGTAAATATATATGATAGCATATTCATAAATATTCTATTCTAGTGGCCATGAATAACGAATTCAATTCATGAATGGTTACGGTTCGATTCACCGAATACGCAAGTGAATCGTAACAGCCCTAATAAACAGCATCATGCTTGAGGCACATTGTAACCTGAAACCCGACAGATTTAAATGTGGATAGTGTTTGAAGCAGATGTTTAAGAATCCAGACAAAGGGTGATAATCAGGGATTGAAACGTGACAAGCAGGTCCTGGTTGAGAAAGGGACACAACTCCGCACAGAGAGCTGCATCGCTTTGACCAGCCCTTTAGGCGCCAAGTGTGTGTTACAGAATTAAAAACGGTGGGACTGAATTCTTTGGTTTTTTAATATTTGCCTGAAGGATAACAATGCATGACAGGGCCGCGCAAGTCATGGACAATGAAACAACAATGAAACAACATTAAAACAACAAAAGTAAGGGGCCGGTCATTAAATAGAGGAGAGTGTCAGGGGAAATCAGGGGAGGTTCACAAAACAATAACACGTATTAGCGGGGTGGGGGGTGGGGGTGTCATCATTTTCAGTACATTTGTGCATCAAAAACCTGACACACCACCATCCCCAGCGTCGACACTAGTCGCACAGTCCTTGCCAAACTTCCAAATAGTTAGGTTATCATAAGGGCTAGCAGAATGTTTCACTTTTAAAGGGTCTTGCTACATGTCATTTTCATTATAAGGGTAACTCTCATGTCCTTCTCCACTCATCACATTCCCTCAAACCATGAATTACTTCCCTTGTACAACCCACACCGTGAGTAATTTCCCCTCAAACCACGAATCACTTCCCTTGTACACTCCACACCGGGAGTAATATCCCCTCAAACCATGAACTACTTCCCTTATACAACCCACACCGTGAGTAATATCCCCTCAAACCACGAATCACATCCCTTGTACACTCCACACCGGGAGTAATATCCCCTTAAACCACGAATCACATCCCTTGTACACTCCACACCGGGAGTAATATCCCATCAAACCTCGAATCACATCCCTTGTACACTCCACACCGGGAGTAATATCCCATCAAACCACGAATCACATCCCTTGTACAACCCACACCGGGAGTAATATCCCCTCAAACCACGAATCCCATCCCTTGTACACTCCACACCGGGAGTAATATCCCATCAAACCACGAATCACATCCCTTGTACACTCCACACCGGGAGTAATATCCCCTTAAACCACGAATTACTTCCCTTGTACACTCCACACCGGGAGTGATATCCCCTTAAACCACGAATCACTTCCCTTGTACACTCCACACCGGGAGTAAGATCCCCTTAAACCACGAATCACTTCCCTTGTACACTCTACACCGGGAGTAATATCCCCTTAAACCACAAATTACTTCCCTTGTACACTCCACACCGGGAGTAATATCCCCTTAAACCACGAATTACTTCCCTTGTACACTCCACACCGGGAGTAATATCCCCTTAAACCACGAATTACTTCCCTTACACACTCCACACCGTGAGTAATATCCCCTTAAACCACGAATCACATCCCTTGTACACTCTACACCGTGAGTAATATCCCCTTAAACCATGAATTACTTCCCTTGTACACTCTACACCGGGAGTAATATCCCCTTAAACCATGAATTACTTCCCTTGTACACTCCACACCGGGAGTAATATCCCCTTAAACCATGAATTACTTCCCTTGTACACTCCACACCGGGAGTAATATCCCCTTAAGCCACGAATTACTTCCCTTGTACTCTCCACACCGGGAGTAATATCCCCTTAAACCACGAATTACTTCCCTTGTACACTCCACACCGGGAGTGATATCCCCTTAAACCACAAATCACTTCCCTTCTCATCTTCCCAAGGCAAAGACGTTACCTGAATGTAAAAGTCCTGTTACCACCCTTGCCTTCAAAGAACATGGCGGCGCCCAGTGAAGACGATCTGATCGATAATCAAAATCTATATTGTGATGAACGGGTCTTCGCGAAGTGCATCAAATCACGTGAGCACCTTCATTAAACACATTAAAAGATTTGGAAAATATCAATCTCATTAAAATCAGATCTTAGTTCTGGCTATCGCCCAACAAAGATCTGAGGACATCCCAGAACGACCTTTCATCCGACCAATCAAAGCGTCACTTACCAGATCGTGAAAGTGACAGTCGGAATGCATTTTCTAATCATGTAACCTCGAAAACGTTAACGCTAGGTATTCCGAAGGACAGTTACGGCCCGTCAAAATTAACGTCTATCTCTCGCTTCCGTGAGATAAACATTTGAACGGAGAAGGTATTGCACAGTACGTGGGAAGCACTGCCATACAATCTCAACCACATCTTACATTTTCCGGAATGTTCGTTTGTTCAGTTCTCCAAACTTTAATCGAGAAATGTGTCAACATATTTTTCAAGCGTAGTCTGAAAGGCAAGCCGCCAGGTTGAAACGAGTGTCGTAAAGTTCTAATTGGCTGATGTCGACTTCCTGTTAGTCATTTCAGTGGTTGGTCAAAGTTCGCGAAAGGTCGTTCTGACGTGACCCGTAATGGGATGTCCTCAGATCTCTGTTTAGCGGCAGTGATGACTTAGATCTGATTTTCATGAGATAGGGAAAATATGTGTTGACGGTACACATGCATTGCAAATTCTGTAATCGACCGAAATCTGCACGACAGTTTACGAATCGGATGTTGATTTCGTTACGCGATTTTGATTGGACTATGCAAGGGTGGAAACTGGACTTTATTAGTCTGTTAACTATATTGCCTCGGGAAGATGTTGTCTTCTTCACCAGGGGAAACTGAAACTGTATGTTGATGCCCTAAAAATAGTAAAAGTACATTTATGACACAAAACACAAACGAAATGGACTCTTTAGGGAGCTTCACTGCTCCTTCGGTTTCAAATTCAATTGAGTGTGGTTAAACCTAAGTATAACTTAAATCTATATTGAAAAGAAAGAGAAACGTGTAGATCCAATAAATATCTCATTGGGATATATGATACAAAGTGGAAACTAAACAAGACAAATATTTGGTCGAAACACACGGAACCAACAGTTCATTATAACGAATAACAATCGGATAACTCAAGAACAATGCATTTTCCTCGTTACACAACCGCAATGTTTTTGTTGAAAATGTAAAAGCTGGCTGGTTTGTTTTTTGTTTAACGCCGAACTCAGCAATATTCCAGCTATATGACGGCGGTCTGTAAATAATCGAGTATGGACCAGACAATCCAGTGATTGATATCATGAGCATCAATCCACGCAATTGGGATCGATTACAAGCATCAACCAAGTCAGCGAGCCTGACCACCCGATCCCGTTAGTCGCCTCTTACGACAAGCATTGTCGCCTTTTACAGCAAGCATGGGTTGCTGAAGACCTATTCCACCCCAGATCTTCACGGGTCCTCTCATGTAAAAGTATCGCGCGAGGGAATAGCCAGAGAGTAGAAGGGTTTTTACTGAGGTTTCAATTTCAACCAAAACCGAGGAGATTTTACACTTACTTGGTGAACCGTCTAAATGCAAGACTTACCAGAAAATATAAATAAAAAACATCGGGTTACCTTATAGTGAAACAATACAAATACAAAAGTCGCGGAAAAAACAAATTCGAGAAAGACCATGTGCAGCATGCAGACAACTGAAGTCAGTGACATGTAACATTGAACACCCTTCCGTCACCTGCCCCGGATTACAATACTAAACATGATATGTGAGGTTGCAAGTTCATTTGGTTTTCAAAAGGGGGAGGAGTGGGGATTTCGCCCCCCTGGACGACTCCCCCCTCCCCTCCTCTCTGTATCAGCCTATGGCTTAAACATTTCAACCGTTAAACCTAGCTTGTACAGTTCACATGTACAACCTCTCAGCAGGTCTCACTTGAAAGTAGTACCACTCATAAGGTATCTATGATCTAGAAAGATATCTGACACATTATAGACAAAAGTGGCAGTAGGCTTCTTAATGTATATCAAAGAGTGCTGCCTAGACATGATATACTTCCCTTATAGCTCGGCATTGATAATCAACTTATTTTACATAAACTCTGAGAGACTGGGGTGGGGCTGGAGGTCATGGTCAGGACCATGGTCACACATCTTCCCGAGGCAAGAGAGTTAACTGACTTTCAAAGTCCAGTTTCCACCCTTGCCGAACTAGTCTGGAATTACTGGGCTCGATCTTAGCGCCACCAGTGGCTGTTACCAGTTATGTCCCTCTTCTATGGACCAATCAGATTCCACCTCTCGTATCACTTGCATTCGCTTCACACAAAATGGTTGCGCCCGATCGATAATCAAGATCTATATTGTGATAAAATGGGTCTTACATAGCGAAATGCATCAAATCACGTGAACACCTTGATTAAAAACATGAAAAGATTAGGAAAATATCTGCTGACAACGAGTTGGCGGTGCACATGCTTTGCAAATCCTGCAATAGACCGAAATCTGCACGGCAATTTACTAACTGGATTTTGATTTCGGTTCGCGATTTTGATTGGACTATGCATGGACTCGTTAGTCCAGACAAAATGTAACTCCATAATACCAGCCTAGTTCGGCAAGGGTGGAAACTGGACTTTTATAGTCAGTTAACTCTTGCCTCGGAAAGATGGCCTAGTTCGGCAAGGGTGGAAACTGGACTTTTATAGTCAGTTAACTCCCTTGCCTCGGGAAGATGGCCTGGTATTTTGGAATTTACATCTATAAATATAGAATTTTGCAATTAGTAAAAGTAAATCAAACACTATCTGTTTTTATGTTCTCTTTAACACCAAAAAGTATCAATTCTGCACAAAATATCATATTATAAACATGAAAGCACTGGTCTATCCACATGAATTTATTTATTTTATTTCTTTATGTTATTTGTTTTTTGTTTTTTTTGGGTGGGTGGTGAAGTACAATTTTTTATTCCAGCATTTTCGTGAACATCATTATCTTTTTAAGAAAACGTAATCCCCTCCAGAATCTAACATGTACAGAACCCGTACATTAAGCATGAGCATCTTCCCATCACTGTGCGATGGAAGCCTGTTTTCACCACTCGAGTCTCATGTCAGCCTTGCTCCATTTGTAGCGACCTCCTCGTGCAAGGAACATCTTCTCGTCAAATCCACTGAAATCCAGAGCTTGTTGTACTCCGACATCCAGCAGGGATTTGGACGGATGTTTTGAACCAGATCGACAATCCAGGAACCTCATCTGAAAAGGATGTCAGTACAGAGTTCTTCACATTGAGTATGGTTTGACGCAGCTTTTAGCAATATTCCAGATAATATCATGGCAGGGGACACCAGCAATGAGCTTAACACGTTGACCCATGTAGGAAACCGATCGAACCCGGGTCTTCGGCGTGACGAGCGAACGCTTTAACCACTAGGCTACCCGACCGCCCCGTGGACCTACAGAGTGTTTGAACTAAAAATAATGCCATACTGCCAACAGGACCCACAAAATTCAGAAGCTGCAGGCCCTGACTAAACTCTTCAGGGCCTCACTGAAATAAAGCTGTAGCTTCCTGTGACAAATAAATCGACAGCTATTTTCATTGCAGGCAACAAGGACCCATACAAATTTGAAACTAATGGCCCGACACGAGATCTATCTGCCACGGGTTTACAAGCAGGCGTTTATTTCGTACACTGGACCTACAACTGACATATACTACTCAAGATAAGTTAAACAACGCCCTATTTTTTCATATGGCTATAGTTAATCCGTCAAAGCCATGCCATATTTTTACACAGAGAGAGTTTATAGCAGTAAAGGGGCCACCGGCCAATTATACAATACATATTTCATTGATTTTTTCAATTGAGCGCCATACAATATTATACATTGCACAATCTAAGTGACGATTAATTTATATCTTAATTTGTCAAAGCCATGCCTTATTTTTTCATATGACTATAGTTAATCTGTCAAAGCGCTTATTACTTTACTTAGCCCTACACTAGGAACGTCTTCCAGACATCCAGACATCCAGGCTTCCAGATATCCAGACAGACAGATGCGTTCAGACATCCAGACGTTCAGATATCCACACATCCAGGAATCCAGACATCCAGACATCCAGACATCCAGGAATCCAGACATCCAGACATCCGAGCATCCAGACATCCGGACATCCAGGAATCCAGGCATCCACACATCCAGGAATCCAGGAATCCAGACATCCAGACATCCGAGCATCCAGACATCCGGACATCCGAGCATCCAGACATCCAGACATCCAGGAATCCAGACATCCAGACATCCGAGCATCCAGACATCCGAGCATCTAGGCATCCAGACATCCAGGAATCCAGACATCCAGACATCCGAGCATCCAGACATCCGAGCATCTAGGCATCCAGACATCCAGGAATCCAGGAATCCCAGCATCCAGACATCCGAGCATCCAGACATCCAGACATCCGAGCATCTAGGCATCCAGACATCCAGACATCCAGACATCCCGACATCCAGACAGACAGATGCGTTCAGACATCCAGACGTTCAGATATCCACACATCCAGGAATCCAGACATCCAGACATCCAGACATCCAGGAATCCAGATATCCAGACATCCGAGCATCCAGACATCCGGACATCCAGGAATCCAGGCATCCACACATCCAGGAATCCAGGAATCCAGACATCCAGACATCCGAGCATCCAGACATCCGGACATCCGAGCATCCAGACATCCAGACATCCAGGAATCCAGACATCCAGACATCCGAGCATCCAGACATCCGAGCATCTAGGCATCCAGACATCCAGGAATCCAGACATCCAGACATCCGAGCATCCAGACATCCGAGCATCCAGGCATCCAGACATCCAGGAATCCAGGAATCCCAGCATCCAGACATCCGAGCATCCAGACATCCAGACATCCGAGCATCTAGGCATCCAGACATCCAGACATCCAGACATCCAGGAATCCAGACAATCGAGCATCCGGCCATCCAGGCATCCAGACATCCGAGCATCCAGGCATCCAGACATCCGAGCATCCAGGCATCCGGACATCCAGGAATCCAGGAATCCAGACATCCAGACATCCGGACATCCGGACATCCGAGCATCCAGACATCCAGACATCCAGACATCAAGGCATCCAGACATCCAGGAATCCAGGCATCCAGACATCCGAGCATCCAGACATCCGGACATCCGAGCATCCAGACATCCAGACATCCAGACATCCAGGCATCCAGGAATCCAGACATCCAGACATCCAGACATCCAGGCATCCAGACATCCAGACATCCGAGCATCCAGGCATCCAGACATCCGAGCATCCAGACATCCAGGAATCCAGGAATCCAGACATCCAGACATCCGAGCATCCAGAGATCCGGACATCCGAGCATCCAGACATCCAGACATCCAGACATCCAGGCATCCAGACATCCAGACATCCAGGAATCCAGACATCCAGACATCCAGGCATCCAGACATCCAGGAATCCAGACATCCAGGAATCCAGACATCCAGACATCCGAGCATCCAGACATCCAGACGTTCGGACATCCAGACATCCAGACATCCAGACATCCGAGCATCCAGGCATCCAGACATCCGAGCATCCAGACATCCAGGAATCCAGGAATCCAGACATCCGAGCATCCGAGCATCCAGACATCCAGACATCCAGGAATCCAGACATCCGAGCATCCAGGCATCCAGACATCAAGACATCTGAGCATCCAGACATCCAGACATCCAGGAATCCAGACATCCAGACATCCGAGCATCCGAGCATCCAGACATCCAGACATCCAGACATCCAGGAATCCAGACATCCAGACATCCGAGCATCCAGGCATCCAGACATCCAGACTTTCGGACATCCAGACATCCAGACATCCGAGCATCCAGGCATCCAGACATCCGAGCATCCAGACATCCAGGAATCCAGACATCCAGACATCCAAGCATCGGAGCATCCGAGCATCCAGACATCCAGACATCCAGGAATCCAGACATCCGAGCATCCAGGCATCCAGACATCAAGACATCCGAGCATCCAGACATCCAGACATCCAGGAATCCAGACATCCGAGGATCCGAGCATCCGAGCATCCAGACATCCAGACATCCGAGCATCCAGACAGATAGACATCCAGACGTTCGGACATCCAGGCAGACAGACATCCGAGCATCTAGGCATCCAGACATCCAGACATCCAGACATCCAGGAATCCAGACAATCGAGCATCCAGGCATCCAGACATCCGAGCATCCAGGCATCCAGACATCCGAGCATCCAGGCATCCGGACATCCAGGAATCCAGGAATCCAGACATCCGGACATCCGGACATCCGAGCATCCAGACATCCAGACATCCAGGCATCCAGACATCAAGACATCCAGGAATCCAGGCATCCAGACATCCAGACATCCGAGCATCCAGACATCCGGACATCCAAGCATCCAGACATCCAGACATCCAGGCATCCAGGAATCCAGACATCCAGACATCCAGGCATCCAGACATCCAGACATCCGAGCATCCAGGCATCCAGGAATCCAGGAATCCAGACATCCGAGCATCCAGAGATCCGGACATCCGAGCATCCGAGCATCCAGACATCCAGACATCCAGGCATCCAGACATCCAGGAATCCAGACATCCAGGCATCCAGACATCCAGACATCCAGGAATCCAGACATCCAGGAATCCAGACATCCAGACATCCGAGCATCCAGGCATCCAGACATCCAGACGTTCGGACATCCAGACATCCAGACATCCAGACATCCGAGCATCCAGGCATCCAGACATCCGAGCATCCAGACATCCAGGAATCCAGGAATCCAGACATCCAGACATCCGAGCATCCGAGCATCCAGACATCCAGACATCCAGGAATCCAGACATCCGAGCATCCAGGCATCCAGACATCCAGGAATCCAGACATCCAGACATCCGAGCATCCGAGCATCCAGACATTCAGACATCCAGGAATCCAGACATCCAGGAATCCAGACATCCAGACATCCGAGCATCCAGGCATCCAGACATCCAGACTTTCACACATCCAGACATCCAGACATCCGAGCATCCAGGCATCCAAGCATCCAGACATCCAGGAATCCAGGAATCCAGACATCCAGACATCCAGACATCCAAGCATCCGAGCATCCGAGCATCCAGACATCCAGACATCCAGGAATCCAGACATCCGAGCATCCAGACATCCAGACATCCAGGAATCCAGACATCCGAGCATCCGAGCATCCAGACATCCAGACATCCAGGAATCCAGACATCCGAGCATCCGAGCATCCAGACATCCAGACATCCAGGAATCCAGACATCCAGACATCCGAGCATCCAGACAGATAGACATCCAGACGTTCGGACATCCAGGCAGACGGACAGACAGACATCCAGGAATCCAGACATCCAGACATCCGAGCATCCAGACAGATAGACATCCAGACGTTCGGACATCCAGGCAGACAGACAGACATCCAGGAATCCAGACATCCAGACATCCGAGCATCCAGACAGATAGACATCCAGACGTTCGGACATCCAGGCAGACAGACAGACATCCAGGAATCCAGACATCCAGACATCCAGACATCCAGACAGATAGACATCCAGACGTTTGGACATCCAGGCAGACAGACAGACAGACATCCAGGAATCCAGACATCCAGACATCCAGACATCCGAGCATCCAGACAGATAGACATCCAGACGTTCGGACATCCAGGCAGACAGACAGACAGACATCCAGGAATCCAGACATCCAGACATCCAGGCATCCGAGTATCCAGACAGATAGACATCCAGACGTTCGGACATCCAGGCAGACAGACAGACAGACATCCAGACAGACAGATGTTCAGACATTCAGACATCCAGGCATCTAGACATCCAGACGTTCAGTAAAAGGCCTCTGGGCCATCATACAGTCAGTTATAATCCTGCATACATCTTCTAATGGGTGATGTTAAAATATGAACAGATTTATAAGGGTCGCGCTTTTTTTCAAATCAGTTTGATAACCTTAATCTATTTACATGATAGAGAGAAATAATACAACCTATTTAGACCAATTACGTAGAAACAATTCCTCAAGGGACAACTGTGAGTCTCGTCTGGACTGGAGCATTGGGCAGATCCAACGTCTAGATTCCAGCGATCGTTGATTAGCGCCACAGTCAGCAATATTGTAGATAACTGTGTGCCATGCTAACCAGGGGTTGAAATAATGAGCAACGTCCCACGTCGAAGGGGTATAATGACACGTTATCAGCCCGAGCACGACCTACAGTCCCAATTATCCACTTATCACCTGCAATAGGGCGCTTGGGATTCTAACCCGCTTCCCACTGAGTTATGAAGCAGATATTAATAGCGATTAAAGAGTTTTGTATATACTGTAACAGAGTGTTTAGATTCTAAACACACACTTAAGCGCATTACTTGTGGCATATGTTTTACGCGTGTATGGTCTAAACATGTTAAGGGTCGTGTTTAACAGCTAAAAATGTTTAGGGTCTAATTGTGTGAATGACACGTATCGCCCCTCCATGTTTAAACTCTAACCATGTTTAGATTATATGAATGTTGTGTTTAGGTTGTGTTAAGGCTGTGAGAAGATGTCATGTGTTTAGACCCTAAACGTTTTTAGAAAGAACACACCACATTATTCCGTTTAAGATTTCACACATTCGTAAACATGTTTAGATCTAAACATGTCGTTTATGTGTTTACATTCAAAATACATATTGTATAGATTGTATACTTACAAATTCGTCAAGAATTAGATAGGAATTCTGCATCTGAAATATGATTAGTGATTAAATGTTAACAAATCATCAAACAACTTATATACAGTAAACTACGGTTATAATGAACTCAAATGGACCATTGATTTAATTTCGTTATAACCGTAGTTCGTTATAAGGATATATACAACATATATACAGCAAATGGCCGTGACCAAATATTAAGTTCGTAATATCCGTCAGTTCGTTAAAAGCGTGTTCGTTATAAAAGTATTTTACTGTATCTCTTAAACGTTTGTCCGAAAGAAGCATTATCTGCACATGTGAAAAAGAGATAAGGAAATATAATGACTCCCTCAATATAATCTGATCTCGGCAATGTCGGACAAGACCTTTCTATACAGAGGTGGGTATTTCCCCATCTTCCTAAGGCAAGGGAGTTAACTGGCTTTTAAAAGTCCAGTTTCCACCCTTGTCGAACTGGAATGGAATTCCTAGGTTCGATCGTAGCGCCACCAGTGGTTATTAGGAGTTATGTTCCTTCTAAGCTTCTCCTATGGACCAATCAGATTCCACCTCTCGCATCACTTGCAATTGCTTCACACAAAATGGCGACGCCCAGTCAAGACCATCTGATCGATAATCAAGGTCTATATTGTGATATAACAGGTTTTACATCGCGAAATGCATCAAATCACGTGAGCACCTTGATTAAAAACATGAAAAGACTTGGAAAATACCTGTTGACAACGAGTTGGCGGTGCACATGCTTTCCAAATCCTGCAATGTCCACCGAAATCTGCACGACAGTTTACTAACCGGATTTCGATTTCGGTTCGCGATTTTGATTGGACTATGCATAGACTCGTTAGTCCGGCCAAAATGTAACTCCGTAATACCAGTTTAGTTCGGCAAGGGTCTAAACTGGACTTTTATAGTCACTTAACTCACTTGCCTCGGGAAGATGGTATTTCTTACATATTCTCACAATCCTCACGTCAATTACCTGATGTACGTCTGATTGATATGTCGTATTTTCGCACATAACATTCGTCTTGCGGGTTACGGAAAGGGGCGAGTGGTGACGAATGGCGTGGGAGTCTCACCTTTTCATTCGACTCGGGCACGAGTGATGGAACTCCCTTGTGGCGGCTGAGGAAATCCCGGAATTCCTCGTCTGAGATGACGAACTTCTCTGCATCACGGAGCGCATCCTCCCCGGCATTCTCCCCCTCCAGCACCAAACACTGGAAAACCTGGAGTGAGTGAGTGAGTGAGATTGGTTAAACGCTACATGGATCCTCGTTCAAGAGCCCATGGCCCCGTTTAGCAAAGCGACCGCAGCACTACGGCTATCGTAACTTCATTGTACTTTAAAATATACTTACGACAGTCTCAGCCCTACGTACGATAACTTGGTCCTTATTAACTTCAGTTTACTTTTAGACCCAGCAAATATTAGAAGCGACCCGTTAGAATAGATCTTCAGCACCCCATGCTTGCCCTAAAAGGCGACTATGTTTGTCGGCGCACTTAGCAATATTCCAGCAATATGACGGCGGTCTGCAAATAATCGAGTGTGGACCAGACAATCCAGTGACTGATACCATGAGCATCGATCCACGCAATTGGGATACGATGACATGCATCATCCAAGTCAGAGAGCCTGTGTCTGACCACCCGGCCCCGTGGGTCTCCTTTAAAGCAAGCATGGGTTGCTGAAGACCTATTCTAACCTGAACCTCCACGGGTCTGCCTTGCTGGACTGTTACTGACTGTGGAGTAAAACAACATTCATTCACAACCTGGCATGTTGTACACGGTGCCATGTACAACAACGATGACGACGATGATGACACCTACCTTCCACCTACACGGCTTCAGCTCTGTCACGTGGGTACTCATGTCTTCGTCCTTGTTGAAAGTATTCACCACTGTGTTGAGTTTGAACGCGACCTGAAATATTCGAAGCTCATCTCTTACAAAGCTTAATTGGAAAATAATGCATTGGTGACTGCATACATTTATTCAACAAAGAGACCCATTATGTTCAGCGAACACTTCAGCGTTTGTAAAACGTGAAGCAAAATTATGTTTTCACGGTATTTTCCGAATGTCGGGAAGATGGTTTCCATTAGTTCTCAACCATGGCCGTGCCATACTCGAAGTGTATGTATTTCATGAGGCAAGCTATACGCAGCACTGGGAAAATGTTTTTTTAGAGGAGAGAAAGGTATTGTGCACTTTACATATTTACATTAACAAATATCAAGACAGGTTTGAAATGTTGTATATTCCACGCAGAAGTTCGCCAGCTTTGTGGCGTTATTTTATGGTGACGAGTTAGACCAATCCCCACATGGGTACAATGTGTGAATCCCATTTCTGTTGTCCCCCTGCCGGGCTCTGGAATAATGCTAAAAGCGGCGTAAAACCAAACTCACTCACTCACTCTGATGGCCATGGAATGTCAGATATTTATCGAATGCACCGAAGCATATCAAACATGAAACAAACTGATAAAAATTCACTTAGAGTCGAGAAGAACATGATTAGAAACTAAAATATTATTTTTTGATGCGTTACATGTACAATTGTTCTAATTCATCCCGATTAATAAAACCAGAGGGTCTTGTGGAATGACCTGCAAATTCATCACATGCGTAGGCCCTACTAACAGTTCACCTGAATGCACCACAAAGTGTCACGTGTGCCTGCCAGCTAGGTTTTACACATTACACGAATGTCTTTTCAGTATATGTTACCATTAGTTAATGGTGTCCTCTTTGCGTATAGCAACAACATTGATCGATAATCTACTTTCAAACTCGTAGCAGCATGTACATCACCAGTATATATTATGTAGTAACTGAATATATGGATGAGAAGTATTGCTTTCAGTTCAACGAATAATGAATATTCCCAGCCTTAGATAATCACGTGATCATGCTTCCCAGAACGAGACTACTACGCGATAGCATATAAATGCAAGGCGCGAAGCATCTGTCAGATACCCCGATTTCATACGTGGACAGGATGACAGGCTTTCTAAAAGTGATTGCATCGTTCTACATCGTCAGATTATTCATACAACGTTGTTGGGCGTGGCTCACGGGAACGTCGTCAGTGTGCTCCCAGACACAAAGTGACTCGACAGTGACGCCTGTGAGCGTCAACTACCACTTCACGCGACGATGCAACTACAAATGCGGTTTTTGTTTTCACACGGCAAAGACGTCACTTAGAGTCGAGAAGAACATGAGCTTAGAAACTAAAATATTATTGATGCTTCTACCACTTGGGCGCTACAAGTGACGTTGTTGGGGAGGCCCTGCTGTGATCACTGAGGGGTTATTGAAAATAACGATAAGGGCAGATATGAAAATTAAACGTTTGCGTCATAATGAGTACCGTGTTCAGAAATTCTCTAAATGTACCATGTAGGTTATTGGTTGAGTAAATAAGAGAGAGAGAGAGAGAGAGAGAGAGAGAGAGAGAGAGAGAGAGAGAGAGAGAGAGAGAGAGAGAGAGAGAGAGAGTTATCAAACTATAACAAACCGCGTTACATGTACAATTGTTCTAATTCGTTCTGATTAAGTTAAACCAGGTGGTCTTGTTGAATTAACTTCAAATTCTACACATGCGTACATACACTTCACCTACATGCACTAAGTGTTAACATGTACCTGCCAGCTAGTATTTAAACATTCCATGAATATCTCTTTACAGTATACGAGTGTGTTATCAATAATTTCTAGTTTCCTCTTTGCGTTCACTAGCAACGTCTATATTTGCAGGGGGCACGGGCGGGTGGCCCAGTCGTCTAAGGCGCCGCGATTCGCTGTGCAGAGTTGCGTCCCTTGGGCACGCCAGAAACCTATGATTGTGGGTTCGAATCCCGGTTCGCCCCTTTTATGTTTCTAGGTTTGTCAGCACCATACCAGTGCTCGTGGGTTTCACCGAAGTGGTAAACGTCTAAGACCTGCATCACTTCGGGCTTTCCTCCCACATTAAGGTGACACGCCGTGATATAACTGGAATACTGTTAAAAGCGGCGTTAAACCCAACTCATTCACTCACTATATTTGCAACAACATTGATCGATAATCTACTTTCAAACTCGTAGCACCATTACATCACCAGTATATATACTATACAGTGACTGAATTTTAGCAAAAGGTTTTATCACAATGCACGAAACTGAAAGTGTGCAATTTACTGGAAACGACCAACTTTGTCTGCACAGACATCAGTCTAGACATGAATTGGTGCCTTGTTCTTTCACGGTTTCCATGATAGCAGACTGGATTTAAAACTTCGGATAAAAAAGGTTAATTTTTTAACCCACTCATTTTTATAATCGGGACATATAAACAGTGCTCAACTGGCGACGTTTACGTTTTGGAACTTTTGGCTTCGATATTTTTCTAATTCCATCGAAACAAATTGAAAACCCCAGTGAAACCAGTAGTTACAGTGATCACGTAACAACGCTACCCTACTGAGGCTAAAGGTACCAGTCACCTAGCAGCATTTTAATCAGTTTTTCATTCAGTGTCATTGACTCTTTAACACTTTGTGTGATCAGTCTTACACTCAATCATTGGCGGGGGATATGAGTATTACATGCTTGTTCATGATCAAGTATTTGTGCTTTTATCTTTTAGTTAGAGGTGAAATACTAAAAATAATTCAAACAAGACTTTGGTATAGGCTAGTTGAGACGCTGCCCCGGGAAGGTGTTTCATCAGTTATTGGAGATTTTCATACATCGCACTCAAAGTCAGAGAATCACCCATGATACTTAATAATATATATTTTGATGTCCGTGCTACGGATCGATGCATGACTATCTGGTGCACATGTGTTCCTTCTAACACAGGAATCGAAAATTGTAATATTATTTCAGAAAAACTAACATTACTCGTGGTCGGTATTAAACACGCAGAGTTCACATTTGCATATTTTAGAATTATGGTACCACGCATACACCAGGGATAGATACGGGGAAGAATAGGTCTTCAGCAACCGATGCTTGCCGTAAAAGGTTACTATGCTTGTCGTAAGAGGCGACTAACGAGATTGGGTGGTCAGGCTCGCAGACTTGGTTGATGCATGTCTTCGTATGCCAACTGCATGGATCGATGCTCATGATGTCAATCACTGACTTGTCTGGCCCAGACTGAATCTTTTACAGACCGCCGTCATATAGTTGGAATATTTCTGCATGCGGCGTTAAATAACAAACAAACAATACATACCTAACAACTAATCATAAAGTGCTGTTATCTCTTTTAATTGTTTATGTTCGTGTTGTCTGTACTACCGCTGGTGGTTTTCTGGTAACAAAGTGTATTGTGGGTATCGATCAGTGCACAGCAAGGTGGATCGACGCTCATTGCGTGGATCGATGCTCATGATATCAATCGCTGGATTGTCTGGTCCAGACTCGATTATTTACAGACCGCCGTCATATAGCTGGAATATTGCTGAGTGCGGCGTTAAACAACAAACCAACCAACCTTTTCTCATCGCCGTCTACTGAACACTTGTCATCATATGGAGAATATCCCCCGTTCAGATGTGTCGCTTGCAGTCCGCATTAGGGGGCGCATTAGAGAAAGAGAATAGGTATGCTTTCTGGAAGTAGTATGTACTAAAATAAACAACAATACACGCAGAAGGTGCACCAGCCCTTCCTTTTTAAAGGCTGTGTTTGACCTTGGGTATATGTGAGTCATGTGTGTACAAAATAAAATGACACAACATACACCTATCATGTCAAATCATACACTAGTTACACATGACTGAATCTTTACGAACGCTTCGCAAAAAGAACATAAAGGCCTGTTATTCATAACAAGAGTTACACACAATGGAGCCGACAACTAATTCTTGGCAAGCGAGGATACTTTTATGAAACGGAGTGGTGCATTATGTGATTACAAATTATTTTTATCCGTTGGCTTTTTCTTGCTTAGAAAGTATAATATACCCATTATATGATAAACAAATTTATCATATAATGGGTAGGTTTCTCGGGAGGATAAAACCAACAGATAAAAACGACATCCGTAATTATTGGACGAATTGTGGTTTTCTAGGACAGCGGTTGTGATCGCTGCATTTTTCTGAAGGGGAGCTAAAAAATGATTAAGAAATAATGGGTAATAAAGAAATTAGTACACTCACATGTATGTCACATTGATTTTACGAAACTCGTGTACGAATTCATGTATTACCCTCGCTTTCGCTCGGGAAATACAAGCATTCCGACACACATGCTCGTATTATAATCTCTAGATATTCTTACCCCTTCACATCAACAGAATCAAGTAATGTACTACTCAAAAAAGGTTAAGGACCACCGGATTATTTCACATATCCATAGTTAATTTGCGATACCATGACAGATTAACTATTGTAACATGAGAGAATCGGGTAGTCCTTATCTTTTTTTCAGGAGTGTACAACTCAGGTTTTAGACATATATTCAGTTTGAATTTGTCTTCCGCTCGTGAGGACAAGAGAAGGTTTAGAGTTAAGTGTTTTTCTAGCCATTGTTTTACCGCTCACCGGGTCATTTATACCTAGGAGCAGTTGGGGAGCCCAGTATTTTAAGCGTTTGCTCGTCACGCTCGTCACGATCAACCCCGAGTGTTCGACGTGACGAGCGAACGCAATAACCACTAGGCTACTCCACCCGCTATAGCATGACCGCCTGTACATAATAGCAAGTTAATAAACCAGCTAAAACAATCACATTAAAGTATGAACAACAACCATTTGGGCACGATGACACGTAATCAGACATCCTGACTACCGATCCCAACTTTAGCGACGGCTTTAGCATGAGATAGTGGGGCCGCGTGTGCTCCGGATACTGATGACCCTGTTGGAATCCAGGGAAAGGTCTGATTGGCAATCTTCACAAAGATAAAGAGTTGGATAACCTTTCACTTACAGTCCGCTTGACGTCGTAAGCTTGAATCCCCGTAGAACTCTTAAAGGGAAACAACACTTTCAGTCGTCTAGCCGACGCCATTTTAATTAGCCCACGTAATCACCAGAAGCCAATTAGCGCGTCAACGGCCCAACAAACTGGGCGTCTGACCAGCGAGGGGTCAGCTGGATTACCTCGTTGACAGCAAGGGGGAATCCCCTTGAATCATCGCATTTGAGTGGATGATGCTTACTATATCCTTTCACCTTGCAAATTAATCTGCGTGTGTAAATGTGTATGCACAATTTATAGTTTGGTATACAGAAAATGTGTGTACGTATTATTTTTGTAACAATGAAATTCAATTCATATACTCAACAACGACCCTTATTTTTCAGGCCAATTCCATTTAACTAAAAAAAACATCGATCAAAGGTTTAACTGATAATGCGTTGACTGATGAATCACTGTTATCGTGCACGGTTGAATTGTTAAAAGTAAGCGTTTATATATGTATATATTTATATAAAGCAGACGGAGTACAACCATATCTGGGCGTGTTGTGCCGATGTAAAAACAGCATACTTCATTCAATAGATTAGTTAATAATAAGTTGATTGAATGCTCTTTGTTATCAAACTCAATGGATTGTGAAATACCGTGGATATCATAAACAAAGTTGTCACGTGTGCTATCTCAGCTGACCGATGAGACTTGACACCTATGTGAAACACGTGAAGCAAACTTACGTGATCCGTTTGGTCAGAGACGGTATATGGTCTCTGGTTTGGTCATTCCAAAACGTTATATATATTTTTTTAATATTAGATTGTAACAAAGACACGTGACATCGGACAAGTTTCTTTGTACAGCTGCAGATGTATTGGATATTATTCCTTTATGTGAAGACCCGTGAAGATCCGGGGTAGAAAAGCTCTTCAGCAACCCATGCTTGCCGTAAAAGGCGACTATGCTTGTCGTAAAAGGCGACTAACGGGATCGGGTGGTCAGGCTCGCTGACATTCGTGACCAACTCGTGTTATTCCGGGACAAGCCGAATAGCGACTCGTGCCCCTCTCGTGGCCATTTGTGCGACCGGGTTCCGTCTTAGCGCAAACGGGCATACCTAAAACAATTGTCAATTCGTTGCGTAATGGTTCACATATATTTCCCCATATATTATATATATTTCAGATGAAATTTAAAGCACATCGGGACTTACGGAATTATACAGAATGATTGAACACATTTAACTGTGTCTTGGGTATATTTTTAGATGCAAGACATATGTAAAATCAAAATTATTTCTGATTGATTCTTTGACGAAGTATTTGAAATCATACGCGCATTCTGATTGGTTTGTCGTATTTTCGCACATAACATTCATCGATAGGGGGACGAGTCTTCTTGCAGGTTACGGAAAGGGGCGAGTGGTGACGAATGGCTCGCTGACTCGTGTCATCAATCCCAAAAGCGTGAATTGATGCTCATAACTTATATACAAAATAATATTAAAATACACTATGTACACTATTGCTTAGGTTAAAGTTCAGCCTCTAAAACACATTCATTCAAAACATCAACATTAATAGAAATATATGATTCAATGTAAATATAATTACTTCTAAGATGCTTATTTATAATGCCTAATCTTTGATTACTATTTAATCCTATTTAGAAGTAAAGACAAATTATAAACTAACCTTTTGTGGTGATCTACGAATACTCCCAGTGCAGTGCATAGTGAAGGTGGCAATATGGAGTTAGTCAGAGCAAGAAGGTAAAGTTTGAATTTGGCCAATCACAGGATCGCTTGGGATGTGATTGATCAATAGAGGGCTGGACAAAGAATGTAGTAGAGCTTGGGTTGTGATTGATCACTGAGGGCTGGACTTAGAATGATGGGATAAAAACACACCTCTGTTGACTATAGTTTAACAGAAACAAAACTTGAAATAGTTTTATTTACAAACAATGCTAAAATACAAATATATACGGCTGCTATTATGTATCCCTTTAACAAAAGCTGATGCGACAAGATTTGAAATATGTTTTTCTTTTACAAATTTGGAGGGTTTTATTCACTGTGGGAATCATGGTTAAAATAGGTCCCCAGCTTTCCGACCAACCAGTGATCACCATGCAATTCAATAATAATTGGAGTCCCCACGGTGAGTGAGTGAGTGAGTTGAGTTTAACGCCGCTTTTAACAGTATTCCAGTTATATCGCGGCGTGTCAGTTTAATGTGGGAGGAAAGGCCGAAGTGATGCAGGTCTCAGACGTTTACCACTTCGGTGAAACCCACAAGCACGGGTATGGTGCTGACAAACCTCGAAACGTAATTGGGACGAACCGGGATTCGAAGCCACAGTCATAGGTTTCTCGCGTGCCCAAGGGACACAACTCTGCACAGCGAATTGCGGCGCCTTAGACGACTGGGCCACCCGTAGTCACCACGGAGTAGGTTCCAGGCTTCCCGCAAGGGCGGTTTCACCAGCCGATCCAGAGTGTGTGCGCTGTGGTGCCTGTTAACTGTGCACTCGGCCAAGTCACTGTTAAAAATCCTGGTTCCGCCTCTGGGTTTATTACTTGGTTTACAAAATTCAAAATTCACAAAAAAATATTTTTCTTTATGTCGAGTTTGTGAACAAGTCAGTAGGAAATTAAAAAAAGAAAAGTATGGGAAGGGAAGTAACTCTTGACTTGACTTTCAAAGAAACCTTCCAAGAAACATATATCGTGACGTCACTTTAAAATCATTTTGATTTTTTTCTTTTTCATGCGGCATCTGCGTGGGATCGGGTGGTCAGGCTCGCTGACTTGGTTGATGCATGTCATTGTATCCCAGTTGCGTACATCGATGTTCATGAAATGAATCACTGGGCTGTCTGGTCCAGATTCGATCATTCACAGACCGCCGTTATATAGCTGGAATATTGCTGGGTGCGGTGTTAGACAACAAACAAACAAACAATGCCTGTTCACCTTGTACTTGTAACACCAGTCTCGGACTCGCTGCAGGGAGCCTAGGTGACTCCTCCTTCCCTGTTGTCGACCAATCAGCTCGTTAGTCTCTGGGTTGAAGCTGTCACATGACAGTGCCAGTATGTCCAGGTATTCGCCTGTAACAGAACCCAGCAGAGAGCAATGTCAACCAGAAAACACTATCAACCACTGAAGGTAACACTTTAGCGTTTTTTCTAGGATTTTTTTTTCCACAGCGAGGCTTATAGTGTTATTTTCTAGATTAAATGTTATTAGCCCTAACTAATAGTTATTACACTGGCGTCGTGTGCACAGAGATAATAACATTGTGAGGCCTTTAAGTCACATGTTACGTTGGGTCTTCTAGCCTTTGGATTCGATCGATGACTTCCTTTAAAAGTAAAATAGATGACAAGGCTTGTTGGAATGCAACGCTCTTTGTCACACTACCAGGGACAAGGTCATTAACACATGGGTGTCACTTAACCAGTAAGTATTTAAATCACTCCGAGGTGAGGTGAAATGGGGTTTCAAGATCAATGCACTTTGTATTTGTAAATACTAGTCCAAATTAATACTGGTTATATTGTGCTAGCCCGTCGAGATAACATGCCGTAGTTTAACATGTATACATTATGGAGTCCGTATTTTATCCCCTGAATAGCGTGGCTCATAATATCAGTCACTGGAATGTCTGATCCAGAATCGATTATTTACAGACCACTGTATTATCGCTGGAATATTTTGAGTGTGACGTTAAACAACAAAAACATACAAACTATGGCAGACTAGGGGGAAGTGAGTGGACAAGGTTCTCAGTCGCAGCAGCAATATAGTAGATGTATGAAGATGTCTTTTACCTTGTGATGGAGTCTCATAATATCGACCACAGGTTTGTATGGCAAGACTCGATTATTTACAGGCCGTCGGCATACAGTTGGAATATTGCTAAGTGCGGCGTTAACAACAAACAAATATTGAGTTATAAATATTTACCGTATTTAACGAACCATGACTCTTTGATCAAGCTCCCGTTACTGACGATGGAGACGCTGGGAAGGTGAAGGTCGTGCTTGCAGTAGGTCACGAGGTCGCCCACGTACTGACCCCTGTCCTCCAGAAAGGGCTCTCCCCCAGAGAAGTTCACCTTCTGCATGCCTGGAATTTACAAGTTACCAGGTGGCCAAGTTGACACGAATACTATTAGGACGGGTGGGAGAAATCTCATAATAATCAGATCTTGTAGGTCCCGCTACCGCCACACGTAGCGACAGCGTGCACTAACATAATAATGACATTGACAGTAGTATTCATGCGTGCGTGCGTGCGTGCTTGCGTTAGTCCTGACTATTCCCGTTTTATAGCGCTAGCCCACTGTCATATGATGCTGGACATCCCGCTCAGAATCACTACACTGGCTCCGAGCTCAGGCAGGGTAACAAGAGGGAACCATCTTTGGGCGTCTTTTGGCATGTCCATTCACCGGGCGGGCGCCTATCTTCACGGATGTAATCCTGTTCCTCAATATGATCATTTGAAGCCTATCATAAAACAACGGTTTCGTTGGAAGGATGGGTATCAAATATATTTTTTTAAATTTTAATCTGATTAAAGTCAGGCCTTTACTTCGATACTTCTCCGCGTAATGATCTTACAATGCGCCATTGGAGGTCGTGTCATTCCTTTACAACTTTCGATCTCAAAAGAAACCCCTCTCAGAATACCAACATTCCCTCGATAGTACATCTGTTTGGGAACCGCGAAGATACAGGTCTTCTGCCCCGTAAGAGGTCTTCTGCTTTTGCTCATGATGTCAATCACTGGATTGTCTGGCCCAGACTCGATTATTTACAGACCACCGTCATAGAGCTGGAATATTGCTGAATGCGGCGTTTAACAACAAACCAACAACAACAAAATCAAATCAGATCTTTTACTCTGATCTGATGCCTCCCTGTATACCAATTGCGTGGAATGATGCTCATGATGTCAATCACTGGATTCTTTGGCCCAGACTCGATTTTTTACAGATCACCGTCATGTAGCTGGAATATTGCTGAATGCGGCGTTAAACAACAAACAAACAATCAAACAACTTTGGTGTAGATACCCTGGCGCTCCGAACAACCAGGGTGTTTACAATGTCCACAACATTTGCAGCACAGCCTTCACTAGTTTCTATTCGGATACGGCTATTTATGTTCCTTGTCCAGAAACCGCCTCCGTGGTCAAGTGGTAGAGCGTCCGCCCGGAGAGCGGAAGGTCCGGGGTTCACTTCCCAGCCGCGTCATACCAAAAGACGTTAAAAGATGGTACTTGTTGTTACCCTGTCTGGCGCTCGGCATTAAGGGGCTAAAACAAGGACTGGTCGGTTCGGAGTCAGTACACTGTGTCTGAGTGGGGTATTCATGTTAAACTACAGCATGGTATCTCAGTGTGCTAGCACTATAAATCGGCATCAGTCCGGACTAGTACAAGCAGCCACACACACGCGTGCATCCACGTCGCTGTATAAGTGAATACTCTTGGACGCAACGTTAACCCCCATTTCACCTCACCTAACCCCTTGCACGATCCTCAATCCCCCTTCTTGTCGTATGTGATGGTAGCCGAGACCATGATGCTGCCAACAACGGACCTGTCGAGCGCTTGGGCTGCTGCCGGACTGTACCTCTCTCTCGCCAATAATTTGTCATTCAATTGTCAATAATGTTCAAGTTCGAAAATGCCGAGACTCAGTGCTGCCAATCGGATCGGAACAACGCCATAGGGCATATCCAAAGAGGGGAATTGCAGTCTTCTGATGATCGCAAATTGAACGTCCACCACAGCACCATTTGCCGCCTTTGTGACCGACCAAGAGTTACCAACCCTGCACAGGATCGCTACATTCGACTGTTCCACTTAGGTCTTCGCAATGCCACAGCTACGGAGACTGCACGACGCATCCCTGGTTTCAGGAGGATGTCGGACCAGACTGTCAGGAACCATCTTCGCCATGCTGGAATCCGACCCAGAACAGTTATCGTCCCTGGTTTGCAACAGATCCATCGACAGCGACGCTTGTGTTGATGCCATACCTTACATCCTTGGAATTTGAGAAACTGAAGACGAGTGTGGTTCAGCGATACGCCGATACGCGATACGCCGCAACCACTCCCACAACTGGCAAACGCAGAATTCCGCAGGACAGAATTCGTTCACTTATCCAGAGGAGATGCAGAGCCGTGATTGCAACCCGGGGCGGTCCAGGGGATGCTGAGTTCAGCGCAACCTTGTGGCCTTATGTGGCATGACAATGGACAGTTTTTTCAATGCCATTACAACGACATGTGACTATCGAGCTCCAAAATTTCATATTAGTATCTATGATAGTAAATCAAATATATCGACTTTATAAGTTACAATAAATTTACTAAAAATTTACCTGTGCGTTTCTTTTTTTGAAGGGTGTATGTTCGACAGTAAACATTTTAAGTGTAGGTAAATATGTAAGTATGTAGATAATGTAATAATTAGACGGGTGATTTAGTGTGAACAGGTTGATACATGTTTGTTAAGCATTAGAATAATGAGGTCGACCTTGAAACAAATACATTCAAAATATGTGTACATACAAATGTACACGGGTCAGAAATGTCTCATTACAACAAATGAGTGGCCCTAATTTCTAAAAAATTAAATTCTAAGAGGGGGGGCAGACCTGTAGGAAAATCCGATTTGAATTTGGGTGTTTGTTTGTTTTGTTGGGTTGTTGTCATTGGATTTTTTTAATGTTCATAACATGCATACATTTCGGCGACCTGACAGCGGCATGCAACACGGTACAATTTTGGAAGTCCAAAAAGTGAGTGAGTGAGTGAGTGAGTGAGTGAGTATTGTTTTACGCCGCTTTTAGCAATATTCCAGCAATATCACGGCGGGGGACACCAGGAATGGGCTTCACACATTGTACCCATGTCAGGAATCGAACCTGGGTCTTCGGCTTGACGAGCGAACGCTTTAACCACTAGGCTACCCGACCGCCCCCCAAAATGTGAGTGACTTAAATTGGGTTTAACGCCGCTTTCAACAGTATTTCAGTTATATCACGGCGTGTCAGCTTTATGTGGGAGGAAAGCCCGAAGTGATGCAGGTCTTAGACGTTTACCACTTCGGTGAAACCCACGAGCACGGGTATGGAGTTGACAAACCTAGTAACATAATCGGGGCGAACCGGGATTCGAATCCACAATCATAGTTTTATGGCGTGCCCAAGGGACGCAACTCTGCACAGCGAATCGCGGCGCCTTAGAAATATGAGGGCATATGCATTGCACCTACTAAAGCTGAGATAAGGTAGAGTTGAGTGCTCTACCTGTATAGAGAATGTGTGGAAGCATGCATGCTGTCACGACCTAATTACAATTATAGCTACAGACAGCTGTGCTGTAATGTGGGTATATATCGTGACAACTACAATTCTAAACTGGATCGTGTAAAAGATAAAGCTTGTCATGCATTCTGACACAAGGAATCTCTTACCTGCATCACTGAGAGCTTTTAGTCCTCTCTTAGCTTCCTCCAGGGGGAGAACGAACGACGTCTTTGCCGTGTGAAAACAAAAACCGCATTTGTAGTTGCATCGTCGCGTGAAGTGGTAGTTGACGCTCACAGGCGTCACTGTCGAGTAACTTTGTGTCTGGGAGCACACTGACGACGTTCCCGTGAGCCACGCCCAACAACGTTGTATGAATGATCTGACGATGTAGAACGATGCACTCACTATTAGAAAACCTGTCATCCTGTCCACGTATGAACTCGGGGTATCTGACAGATGGTTCGCGCCTTGCGTTTATATGCTATCGCGTAGTAGCCACGTTCTGGGAAACATGATCACGTGATTATCTAAGGCTGGGAATATTCATTATTCGTTGAACTGAAAGCAAAACTACTCATCCATGTTCAACTACTGGGGAAAACCGTGTTTCAATACTTTACTGCCGCATACATACAAAACAACCGTCACGCCAACGTATATATATATATATATATACTGTATTCGACGTAATAAGCGCCCCGCTCTAATAAGCGCCCACGGCGTTATTTGCTAATATATTGGCTAGTGAACAATCCCAGTTAGCACCAGTTAGCAAGACTTATTTATTCGTGTATAATACGCACTCGTTTGTTATATGCACCCTTAATTATGGACAACTAAATTCTCGAAAATATATCTATCGTGCATAATACACACAGATTCTTCTTTTATATCATTTCAGGCTGTCAGCATAAACCACAAAATTTACAACCTTTCAACCTCGTTTTTAATCTCACCAAAACATATTCTAATAAGAGTCCCTATTTCTAATTTTGAGAGCGCCCTGGGCGCTTATTACGTCGAATACGGTATATATATATGGTGATGTAATGCTGCTACGAGTTTGAAAGTAGATTATCGATCAATGTTGTTGCAAATATAGACGCGGCTAAACGCAAAGAGGACACCATTAACTATTGATAACATATACTGAAAAGACATTCATGTCATGTGCAAAAACTAGCTGGCAGGTACACGTGACACTTTCTGGTGCATTTAGGTGAACTGTAAGTAGGGCCTACGTATGTGATGAATTTGCAGGTCATTCCACAAGACCCTCTAGTTTAATTAATCAGAATGAATTAGAAAAATTGTACATGTAACGCAATAACAAAATGTGTAATTGTTGCAAAAGGTTTCATCACAAATGCACGAAACTGAAAGTGTGCAACTTCCTGGAAACGACCCACTTTTTCTTTCCAGGCTTGCAAATAGAGCTGTGTTCCACGAACGGGAGTGACCTCCCTTTTATATGATGAATATATTTACGATTTTCTGGCGGGCGTCTCCAAAAGCAAGCAGGTGTTTTAGTCTGTTCGCAAAGTCAAAGCTTGATCGTCGAAGCGTGGACAATATGACTTACTACGTTTCATTTGCGGACAAACCCGTTTGTTTCATACAAACTGAAAATACTGACAAGGGAAGTGCTTCAGAATATAAGGAACTGAGAAAACAAGTGTCGTCCTGTCTTCCCGGCACAATTACAGAAAACACACTCTTTGTGGCCGAACAAACTGGTTTGGAATGTTCCGATGCTCTCACAGGGTATATACAGTCATGTATTACTCTCTACAGACTGAAGCGGTCGATCGACTCTGGCGCTCACCATCTTGCCTTCGGCACGCGGCTTGACAGCACTGTCGCATGTGGCAGCAGAAACTCCCAAGACCTCGACGGGGAGCATCTCAAAAGGTGCTTATTTGTTTGCTCCAAAAAGAATACAACGTCAACAGTCCCACCTCTCTTAAACATGACGATCCCTGGAGATGTGTGTGTTTCTACATTTGTTCAAAGAGATGAGACAAACGTTTTTGAGCGGAAGATACTAGAGTCTGATTCATCAGAAGTAAAACGTTCACTTTTTCGGCTTTACTGTCCAAAACATGCCAGCACAAATAAATACAAGATTCCACCCATGTTCAACACCCCATCGTGCAGCCCTGTGTTTCACAGTTTTGAAAGAACAATGGATATTTTAGCCAGAGTAAGTATTAACATATTGGTGACCACAACCATGGGTGTGGTGCAGACAAACCCAGGTACATAATCAGGGCAAATTGGGGATTCGAACCTAAGATCATAGGTTTTGGTACAAGCTCCTCACAGCGATATCCCTTTAGCGGAGCTCTCTATACTATCACTGCCACCAGTCAAAACGCCCCAATGTGATAGGTGGCTACAACCGGGCGGTCGGGTAGCCTTGTGGTTAAAGCATTCACTCGTCACGCCGAAGACCCTGGTTCGGTTTCCGACATGGGTACAATGTGTGAAGCCCATTTCTGGTGTCCCCCGCCGTGATGTTGCTGGAATATTGCTAAAAGCAGCGTAAAACCATACTCACTCACTCACTGGCTACAATCAAGCTTGGAGTTGAACTTGCAACTGACTGACCGTTTACAAACAAGTGATGACTGCCATGACGCCAAATACTCTTACCCCTGCTGCTTAATTGTTTTCCTTGTTTGACAATTTGAATTTCTATTTCATTTTAACTATTTCATTTTAGAGTCTAGTAAATATGTGAGGGGGAAGTAGGGTGATTTTCTGTTCGTCTGCAATCTCAAGCTCATCTGATCAAAGAAACCAAAAATTATAAACCTGTGATTGTTATTTTTGCTTGATTTCGGGTCGGATTTAAGTAACAAAAAAATATGTTTTAATAACTGGTGTTTTAGATCACTGTTTGAACATAATGACATTTTCGTGTGTTGGCAAAGTGTTTGTGTTGTAAAGACAAGCACGCGTTTGCCAAGCGAGGATCAACAATGTTGCGCACTTCGCTGAGGTAAAGCTCCATGCAGAATATCGGCCTCTGAGGAAGTCTAGATAAATCCCTATGTTTATTTGTTGACATGTGATCATGTGTTTCCAGGTGTCGGATATGCCGGAAGTTCGGGAGCTATTGTCAATTGGAAAAAAAGAACTTCCTGGGAGCGTGAACATTGAATCACTTCAGTCTCAGTTAAAGCATCCTTTTGTTGTGGTGGAAGGCATGGATGCTGCAGGTACACTAGCGTATCTTAAAGCCACATGAAGGCTGCTTTTCTTGGCTTGACCCTGGCGCCACCTCGTGTTGATCACGAGTTGTGCCGCTTGTAACGAAAATGCGATATCCAATCAGATCGCTGTTCTTATCTCGTAGAGCGCCACAAAAATGGCGACTACCATTGGCGACAACCTTGTCAAACAAGTAACATAGAGGACATAAAACCATAGGCAACCATTTGGGAGTTTAAGAGATAAAAAGATGTGTCAACAAAGACAGACAGCGGTAGATTACTTTCATGCGAAGGTGTACCAGTTGTGGATGTTGATTTTGTGAAACATTCTCTGATTGGACTATCGATATGTGCGATAGTCCAATCAGATTTAGCACAGGAAAGTGGGCTTGATTTGGAAAGGGTGGAAACAAGACTTTGATAAAAAGGCTAGTGGACGTTCTTGCCTACACAGGTACATGTCTAATGCCTGTTTGTTGAATCTTTTGAAAATATTTGTCACGATTTGGTGGTGAGGACTTGGTAGATCGTGTGTCTCCATGCCTGACGGCGTGGATTAGTCACAATTAATTATCGTAACTATAATAGGTGAGGGGACGTGTATGCATGTTTGAGTGTGTGTGTGTGGCTGCTTGTACTTGTCCAGACTGATGCCGAATTTATAGTGCTAGCCCACTGAGATACCATGCCACAGTTTAACATGAATACCCTCTGAGTAAACTGACTCCGAGCCTACCAGTCCTTGTTTTAGCACCTTAATGCCGAGCACCAAACAGGGTAACAACAAGTACCATCTTTTAACGTCTTTGGGTATGACGCGACCAGGGATTGAACCCCGGACCTTCTGCTCTCCAGGCGGACACTCTACCTCAAGGCTACGGATTATATAGAGAATCTCAATCAAATATTTCTACACAAGTCAATAAAGACTCTGAGGCTTGCCAAGTATGTTTGATATCAAAAGATACAGGGTTGAGATTCTACTTGTCATGCATCAACAGTTTCAGTTTGTAATCAGTATCAGCAGAGTCTTTAGTGTAATCATTACTGCTCTCAGCTTCAGCAGCAGAGAGATGAGTGATGTCATATGATTGTGAGGGGCCACGGGTGGCCCAGGCGTCTTAGGTGCCGTGATTCGCTGTGCAGAGCTGCGTCCCTTGGGCACGCCAGAAACCTATGATTGTGGGTTCGAATCCTGGTTCACCCCGATTATGTTTCTAGGTTTGTCAGCACCATACCCTGCTCGTTGGTTGCACCGAAGTGGTAAACGTCTAAGACCTGCATCACTTGGGGCTTTCCTCCCACATTAAGCTGACACCCCGTGATATAACTGGAATACTGTTAAAAGCGGTGTTAAACCCAATTCACTCACTCATATGATTGTGACATTGTCATGGTAACGTCACATTATGACGCTGGGCGTTATGGTGCTTTTTTATTACAGCAATATCTCCTGTGGAGACCAGTTTTGAATGATAACAGATTTTCATCCACATCTTAAACAATGCGAGTCTGGAGGCATATCTATATTTATTAATTGCTTTTAGACAAGCCATCCAAGGCATTTGAGTAGTCAACCGATTTTCACTAAATATTTTGAGACCTTAATTTTATGGTCATTGGAATTGTGAGTTATGTAGTATAAATGTAAATTCTCAAGGCTTTGTTGTCCTGAAATCTTTCATTTGATATTGTTGTCATTGCATTCAAGGGAAGACAACTCTGACCGAGACTCTGGAGCACAAGATGCAAGCAGCAAGATACCACACTCCACCTCCTTGTATTCAACATCTCAGGAAATTCTTTGATCCTATGCCGGAAATTGTCCGAAGAGCATATTACTCCTTGGGGAACTACATTGTGGCAGTTCAGATTGCCGAGGAATGTCAACAAAAAGCTGTCATAATGGATAGGTAACGTGTTAGGAGATAAACCTTACATGTTTGTAGATTTGCAGGTTTTATGGAATATGCAATGGCTTGAAATTTCATTTGAAATGAAACATCATGATATAATTAATAATGTGACATTCTCTCTGGTCCAGCCAAAATACTCCAGCCTAGTTTGGCAAGGGTGGCAAATGGACTTTTATGGTTGGTCGGTTGGTTAACTCCCTTGCTCAGGAAGATTGAAGATGTAAGGTACATCTCACATGTTCCAAAGAAAAAGAGTACGCACATTGTAGGATATGCTGGATGATGTGTGCAGTATGAATCTTTTCTCTAGTGGGCCTTGGGGCAGTGGGATAGCCTAGTCGCTAAAGATTCGTCCTGCCAACAGTACAGATTTTGACTTCCCTTGTGGGTACAGTGTCAGAAGCCCATGTTTGGAGTCCCCAACCATGAAATTGCTGGAATAAATCTAAGAGAGTCTCCCACGGTGATATTGCTGGAATAATGCTAAGAGAATCTCCCACGGTGATATTGCTGGAATAATGCTAAGAGAGTCTCCCTCTGTGATTTTGCTGGAATAATGCTAAGAGAGTCTCCCACGGTGATATTGCTGGAATAATGCTAAGAGAATTTCCCACGGTGATATTGCTTGAATAATGCTATGAGAGTCTCCCTCTGTGATATTGCTGGAATAATGCTAAGAGAGTCTCCCTCTGTGATATTACTGGAATAATGCTAAGAGAATCTCCCACTGTGATATTGCTGGAATAATGCTAAAAGAGTCTCCCACTGTGATATTGCTGGAATAATATAAAACTATTTTGACTCACTCACATTTCTCTTCTATTCAGCCTTTGTTTGCTACAGTTAATTCCTCTGCTTCAGGTTCTGGCACAGTACGGCCGCCTACGGTATCGCCAATGAGACATCCTTGAGTGATCAGCCCCCTCCAGGTCACATCACCTACAACTGGCCATGTGACCTACTTCGACCAACCGTGGTCTTGTTCCTGAACGTAACAGAGGATGTTCGCAAACAGAGGATGAACTTCCGAGAAGCAGCCATGACCTATGAAGAGCAGAGACTTGACACTGATGCCTTGTTCAGACAAAGGTTTGTCAGGCCAAACCAGATTTGTTTCTTGTATTCTCGATACAATACGTGAAAACTAGACATTTGCCATGTTAGAAGACTAGTCCATCATCAAAGAGGATTTAAGGAATCCCACCAAAACTTATGTTGATGAAACAGTGGTTTCAGAGCTTTTTTTTGCTTTTTTTTATATACAGTATATATTTTTTGTATATACATAAGTTGATCGGCTGATTCCGAATGTAAACAAAAATGCTCAGCAATATTCCAGCTATATGACGGCAGTCTGTAAATAATTGAGTCTGGACCAGACAATCCAGTGATTGACATCATTAGCATCAATCCACACAATTGGGATCGATGACATGCATCAATCAAGTCAGCAAGCCTGACCACCCTATCCCGTTAGAAAATAGAAAGTTCACTTGACACAGCCTCCTGAAGATGGCCTCAGATCTAAATGCAGAGAAATGGTCATGCTCGTCAATCTTGGTTACTGTTTTGAACAAAATAAGATTTTCGTACGTTACTGAAGTGTTCTTGTTGTAAAGATGTAACACTCATTTTGCCAATCAGGGATCAACAATGTTGCAAACTCCACCATTGTCAGCTTATGCAAAGCTCCATACAGCAATATAGGAATTGGTTATGCACAGTGACAGATTCCATGCAGTGTTGCGAGTATGCAACACGCTGTTTCAATTGACAGCTTTTGATGAATAAAGTGTCTTGTAAGTTATTATTGACATTTTAGGGTATGATAGATAAGTTTATTAAAGCAATGTGACATTTTTTATTTGTGTCAGAGAAAATAAGAGCGTTAATGCAGATGAAACTGTTGAAAGTGTAACAGTTAGATGTATGCAATCTTCAATTGCGCTGTGGTAGCTGTGGCAGCTGCGCAAGAATATGGCGGAATTGTGGTTTGGTTCAATCCCTAGGTAAAAGATCTGATTTAATGAGATTACATGAAATTTTAGCTTACCTGTCATGAATATTCATGCAGAAAATGCAGTCTTTGAATAGCTTTTGTTAAGTGGCTGTTGACAGTTTGAAATGTTGGGTACATATCAGGTGAGCTACAGTGTCACACTATTTTTATATATATTTGTATTTTTTTGTATCAATACATGACCTACTAAAACAATACTTGTATCATAGCACAGATGCATGAAGATCCTGGGTAGAATAGATCTTCAGCAACCCATGCTTGTCGTAAGAGCGACTAAGGGGATCGGGTGGTCAGGCTGACTGACTTGGTTCATGCATGTCATCGTATCCCAGTTGCATTGATCGTTGCTCATGATATCAATCACTGGATTGTCTGGTCCACAAGCGACTATTCTCATCCCATTTATTTTGATCATGGAACCAAGATTTCGAAAACCACCTTTTGTACTTGAGAAATGCCTTATGTGGAATAATATCTTTTTTTCTAAATGCAGGTTGTGTGAAGCCTACAAGAGAATGGGAAACCCAGCTTGCACAGAAATTGATGCATCCGGAACTCGAGAGACAGTGGTTGACCTCACACTGTCGGCACTGCATCAACATAGGGTCGTGTTGACCTGAGGTCATGCCAAGGTCAGCTTTAGGACACATGAATGCTAGAATTGACTTCCTGGAACTCGAGAGACAGTGGTTGACCTCACACTATTGGCACTGCATCAACATAGGGTCGTGTTGACCTGAGGTCATGCCAAGGTCACCTTCAGGACATGTGAATGTTAGAATTGACTTCCTGGAACCCCATCAAAACGACACTTCAATCTGTTCAAGAAGGAATCGAGGTTGTGATAATTAGCAGTCTTTGGAGCTTCTTGAAACAACCCTTGACTCTTTTCTGTGAATTCAAGTTGTATCATTTAGATTAGTATAGGATGAATGAGAATCTAATCTTGTTAAAATCAGATCTTTTGCTCTGACATGACAAGTCTTTCTACATTAGGATAGGACAACCCCTTATGTTAGGTCACATCAGGTTAACCTCCCGAACAACCAATCAGTGTCTCTGGCAGTATGAGCAAGAGAATCATAGTATCCAGAAATTAGACATAAAAGGGCAGTTCCAAATGATAAATATTAAAGCCTGAGCTATGATATTGTGGTAATTCATTACACCCTGTATGCACCATGGCATCTACACCCAAGAGGGTGTACAATCAAGGGAATGTTTGTTTTCTGTGTAGGTTTTCCTTTGTTAAGATCGAAACGAGGCTAAGTGGTAAAGAAATGAAGCTGAATTTTTTAGAATGCTGATATCTGACAAGCGGAAAAACCTACCAATCCATCCTTCAGATGACAGGACATGGATGGTTGTCTAAGGTGCCGCAAGTTAATGTACAGAGTTGTGTCCCTTGGGCACACCAGAAACCTATGATTGAACCTATCCCGGTTCGTCCCAATTATGTTTCTAGATTTGTCAGCACCATACCCGTGTTCGTGGGTTTCACCAAAGTGGTTAATGTCTAAGACCTGAATCAATTCCTACATTAAGCTGGCAGGATGTGATATAACTGGAATATTCAAAGCAGCATTAAAACCCAACTCACTCACTAGTTCAACCAGAGAGGGCAGTCAGAGTTTGGTCCGGATCACCTTACTTGACCTATGGAGAGTTTGTCAGATCTCACACACAGGTATTGTAGTGGATCTGATTTTGTTGAGATTGAATTATAACCGTAATTAGATGCACCCAATATCCTGAAATGTGGAAAGCCCACTTTCATAATGTGATGTTAATGCTTTGACTGTAAACAAGAAAACAAACAACTTTGTGGTTAACAACTTTGATTATTGCATTGAGCAACATTTCGATGTAGACATTTACACTGTTGTCAAGCAGGATGAGATGAAGAGATGAGAGTTATATGCATGATATTTTGCGAGAAGCTGCAGATTAACATTAACAACAACAGGTACTTGCTGGTCTTAGAGGGCTGATTTGCTGTCTGCTTTGGCTGTTGATGTCTTGTGTTCTTTGATGCAGGTATCAACTGGGCGGGGGGCTTTCACCAATGTTCAGTGCTCACCACAGTCTCGATCAGTCTTATTGTTAAGAAATAAATTACTTGTCTGGGGTAAGAGCGGAAAGTCCAGAGTTCGATCCCTGTCCGCGTCATACCAAAAGATGTTAAAAGATATTACTTGTTGTTACCCTTCCTGGCGCTTGGCATTAAGGGGCTAAACAAGGACTGGTCAGCTCGGAGTCAGTACACTGTGTCTGAATGGGGTATTCATGTTAAACGGCAGCATGGTATTTCAGTGGGCTAGCACTATAAAATCAGCTTTAGCATGGACTAGTACAAGTAGCCACACACACACGCATGTTGCTAGTGTAATAATCTTGGACGCAACGTTAACCCATTTTCACCTCACCTCATTCTTCATTGTTCCTTGGCATTTATCGCATAGCTGTCTTATGTATTAGCTCTGACTGTTGTATTCCTATACTTTAACTGGCAAAAGTATATACACCTTGCCTGTACTCTCCTATACTCCTTGTCTGTGTTGTGAAAAGACCAATTATGTCACAGTTTATGGTTTTAATTAGGAAATTTCTTAAACAGATTTGATTTTACTTTACATCTCATCATTGTTGTAAGATATATTATAAACCTTCAGACTACTGAACTGGGGCCGTTCCACAAAGCAACCGTAGCTCTAAGGTGATCGTAACTCCCATACTTTAACATAGACTTATGACTGTCGTAGCGCTACGATCACTTTGTGGAACGGGGTCCTGGGCTTCAGATAACATTTGTAGCCATGGAGTCTTTACACACTTCTTGTCATAAACAGTATTGATAGTTTTCTTTCTTTCAATGTTTTTATTCGCTTGAGTCCAGTCTATTAGACATTTTAGTCAAATCATTCTGCTTGAAACGCTGTTTCAGGTGGTTCTAATTTGTACCTGTGGATGCACCAACTCTGTAACATGTTGCAAAAGCAGTGATCTATATCAGTGTATAAAAGTCCCCCAAACTACAGTCAGACAACCGGAGTGGCAACGTTGCAAAGTTACCAGATCAGATAGAATGTTGCTAGTCCAGAATGCTCTTGACTATCAAAGTAACAAAAAGGGGTAAACATAAGAATAGTACTGTTTAATGTCAGTTCTCAGAAAATAACCAAAAAAATGGTGCATTGTCAACTTAGTAACTTTACCTCATTGAAATTTTATTCATCAATATTGTGTTTTACAGTTAATTTTCATCTTACATTAGATTAAAACAAGAATGCTTAGGCAATGGAGGGAATACAAAAAAAGCCCCACCATCAGGCATGCAACTTTTCAAAACTGACCATCGGTCAGCTAAATAGACTGTCTTGGACTTTTGGGCAGGTGGTTATTTTGAACACTGTATATATATCTACTTTACAATAGACATATCACCTTTTTGTGTCTAACTCACCACAGTAACTCATCATGTGTTTGTGATGCCTGCACCCAATCAGAAAATAAACCTCTGTTACGCAATATATGTAAATATACACAAAGTGCTGTATATTATCGGAGGGTTAATTTTTCACGATTGTATGCAATCAACTTTCAATAATTTGGATTATTGAGAATTATTTTGCATATTCCATGCAAATATGCAACCTATCTGGAGCTCTGACTGAACTGAAAATGTATTGTCAGTTTTGTTAGAAAACCTATTTGGGAAAGACTAAGATGTTGCATTTTTGTTTCCTATGATTGTGACCTGTGAAATGATTTGTTTTGTCATGATCTGTTTTTTATTTGTTTGTCATTTCAAATCACATTAAGAACATCTGGAATAGCTCAGAAAACACATGAGATCATTCAAAACCTAGCACAAATCACATATCACCTATCATATACTGAGAACTTGAAAAATGACAAAGTCAATTCATTGTATACAAGTAATGAATCATAGTTTTAAGACAAAATAGCAAGTTTTACATATCACTGAATATAGGTGAGCTTCTGTACCTCTGGTACTCTTGTTTTATATTGTTAACACATAGTGCATGTATTATAGCTGCCTAATGATTTGTACTTGTCCAAGTTGAAGGCGGCAGCATCATGTCTCTCTACAGCTGTTGATTGTTATGATTCTGATGCGTCACTTGACAGTTTTAATAATGACACTTTTTTAATAAAACTTATCAAATATACATCTCTTGCTTTTATTAAACAAATTGAAAGAGAAAGCTTTCATGAAAAGCCAAGGCCTGTCTATGCAACACCCTAACCTACACAATCAGCCTTGACCTGTCTACACCACACCCTAACCTACACAATCAGCCTTGACCTGTCTATACCACACCCTAACCTACACAGTCAGCCTGGACCTGTCTACACCACACCCTAACCTACACAATCAGCCTTAACCTGTCTACACCACACCCTAACCTACACAGTCAGCCTAGACCTGTCTACACCACACCCTAACCTACACAATCAGCCTTAACCTGTCTACACCACACCCTAACCTACACAGTCAGCCTTGACCTGTCTACACCACACCCTAACCTACACAATCAGCCTTGACCTGTCTACACCACACCCTAACCTACACAATCAGCCTGGACCTGTCTACACCACACCCTAACCTACACAGTCAGCCTTGACCTGTCTACACCACACCCTAACCTACACAATCAGCCTTGACCTGTCTACACCACACCCTAACCTACACAATCAGCCTGGACCTGTCTACACCACACCCTAACCTACACAATCAGCCTTGACCTGTCTACACCACACTCTAACCTACATAAACAGCCAGGACCTGTCTACACCACACTCTAACCTACACAAACAGCCAGGACCTGTCTACACCACACTCTAACCCACACAATCAGCCAGGGCCTGTCTACACCACACCCTAACCCACACAATCAGCCAAGACCTGTCTACACCACACCCTAACCTACACAATCAGCCTTGACCTGTCTACACCACACCCTAACCTACACAATCAGCCTTGACCTGTCTACACCACACTCTAACCTACATAAACAGCCAGGACCTGTCTACACCACACCCTAACCCACACAATCAGCCAGGACCTGTCTACACCACACCCTAACCTACACAATCAGCCAAGACCTGTCTACACCACATGAAAACCTACACAATATCCGGGTTAGAATAGGTCTTCAGCCGCCCATGCTTGTAAGAGGCAACCAGGTGGCCAGGTTCTCTGACTTGGTTGATGCATGTCATCGTATCCAATTTGCGCGGATCGATGATAATGATGTCAATCACTGGATTGTGTGGTCCAGACTCAATTATTTACAGACCTCCGTCATATAGCTGGAATATTGCTGAGTGCGGTGTTGAACAACAAACTAATCAATAAACAATGAATGACAGTCAATCTATACAATTAGAACAAACTCGTCCCGAACAAATTCGTTATACTCGGTATCTACTTATAGACTTTTCTACGTTAAACTGGAACTACTCTCTAAGTTCTTGAAAATGTGTTCTAGTAATTACAGTAACGGATGTTATCAGTGTCCAATGTTCGAATAAGTACAGTGTGGTATTTATGCATCCCCTATTATTCAGTGTAATAATATTCATCATAATAGAATATTATTCACTGGATACAAGTTGAGCATGACATTTCCTGGGACACATACGAGGGTTGGTCAAAAGGTTCTAAGCCTAACAAACAAAACCAACAATTGTGAAAGTGTTTTTCATTATTTTTTTCACAACAATCTCCCTGCTTTCCAATACACTTCCCTTATCGATAGATAGTGAAGCTTTTTCAATTCCATCCAGGAAGAAGTTTCCTGAAGCCACACTGATATACCCATTCACGGTAGCTTTGAGGTCATCGGTGTCGTCATAGCGCTTTCCACGAAGTTGTTCTTTCAGTTTAGGAAATCACTTGGTGCCAGGTTTGGCGAGTATTGAGGGTGAGGAAGCTATTCGAACACACACTGTCGTACAGAAGCCTTTGCAAGTCGAGGGGTGTGAAAAGAGGCATTGTCATAAAAAAGTAGAACTCCAGCAGTCTGCATTCTTCACCGCTTTTCTTTGATAGAATCTCTCAGGCGATGAATCAAATCAGCATAGCGGGCACAGGTAATCGTCTTTTGACTTTCGGATTAATCATCAAAGATCACACCCTTTGCGTCCCAGAATACAGTGGCCATAGATTTCTTCACTGTTTTTGAAGACTTTAATTTCTTTGGTACCGAAGAAGTGGAATGGTTTCATTCCATGGATTAACTTTTTGACTCGGGATTATAGTGGTAGACCCATCTTTCATTAACCTTTACTAATCGCTTTTTTAATTTGCCGAAATCCCCTCATTAGCTCTCAGTCGTCTCTGGCAATGTCAGTACTTTTTTCCTTAAGATCGGAATTTAGAAACTTTGGCACCCAACTTATTCATCTGTAAATGTTCATAAATAATAGTTTCAATGGCTCCATGGCTTAGACTTGTATCTTCCTCAAGTTCAGCAATGGTAATACATCTGTCTGACAGTATAAGGTTTTCTATCTCCTTGATTGAATCTTCATTGATGGAAGTTAAGGGACGTCCAGACCTAGGGTCATCATCAAGGCTGGTTCTCCAAGCCTTAAACACAGCTGCACAACGTTTAACAGTAGAATAACTTGGGCATTTATCCTCATACACTTGTAAAATGCAGTCATGAATTTCTTGGGGAGTACTTTTCTCTAAATTAAAAAAAACGTTATGACTGCTCGGTACTCGTTCTTTTCCATTCCTGTGTCCATTTGGGCCCCTATCAGGTTCAACTGGCATTCACTAATATACAAACGACCTCAACAGACCAAATAGACTTGCAATGAGCTACTCAAACAATGTACTACACTGACTAGTTCACTTTGTTATGGCTCATAGTTGAAAGTTAGTCAGGCTTTTAACTTTTTGACCAGCCCTCGAACTTTCAGAACGCACTGCTCAAAAGCGGTTGAAAGAGAGGGAGAGTTTGGGGATTTTACGTGCGCTTTCCGACATAATGCGCATGTCTCACACGGGCCCGCCAGGCCATTTAGTGCTTTGCCGAGGAGGGTATGTCCAAAACGTAAGGCAACCTTGGGAGGCTTTAGGGTTTCTTAATTAATTTTTTAAACAGTTGGAATTCAAAAGAGTCTTGGTCGATATTAAAGGGTGTGCGAGATTTTAAATCAGCATTTTGAATTCAATGAGGCCTTCTCAATTCCTTGTGGGTTTTTATTTAATTATTTCTGATGTTGATAGGGATCGAGCTGTTTAAGAAGGTTGTGCCAGCCTATACAAAACACCCTTACCAAATGATTGTGTAAGGTCAGTAGGTTTGGGTCTTCAGACTAAATTGAACTGGTGGGATGGGATTCCTGAGGGTAGATGGACCAAGATTTTGTTAGGAAAGTACAATCTCATTAAAATCAAATCTTAGTTTTCGCTATCGCTAAAGCGGCAGCGAGAACTTTGATCAGATTTTAATGAGATTGGTAAAATACCGTGATATCTATGCACTAGTTGACTGGCAGTCAATGCATGCTCTTCAACACGAGTGGATTGTGATGTCACTGCATTGGACGAATACTTTCTTCTGTGTGTGACCATGTTTACACAGTGAGTGTGATTTTACGCCACTTCTAGTAGTACTCCAGCAATATGACGGGGAGCGAGTATGGTTTTACGCCGCTTTTAGCAATATTCCAGCAATATCACGGTGGGGGATGCCAGAAATGGACTTCACACATTGTACACATGTGGGGAATCGAAGCCGGGTCTTCGGTGTGACGAGAGAACACTTTAACCACTAGGCTACACCACCGCCCCCAATATGACGGGACACCAGCAGTGGGCTTCGCTCATTGTACCCATGTGGAGAACCGAGCCCTGGGACTAGGAGCGAAAGCTCCATTAGGCTACCTAACCGCGGCCTCAATTTAACACAGAATAGCAGTCTTCATTTATTTTTTAAAAAATTCATGTTATTATTTTATTTTCTTGTTCACGGTAATTGTTTATTCAGGTTGAATAAAATAAAATGGAGATGACGCTTGCTTTTGCGTTACCAGCACATTTCCATGGATCGGTTATACATGATATAAAGCCTGATTGTGGGAGCATGAGGATAACACCCTCATTACTCCCTAACCCCTATTACAATATTCCTAAAATACAAGTTTCCTGACTTTTCGTCCTCGCTGAACCCTCCATACTTGTACATTCTCACTCCAAGCTCAATCTTTAATAATTTAGCACAGAAAACTACGGTTATAAAAACTCAAAAGGACCACTGATTTTAGATCACAATAACCGTAGTTCGTTATAACCATATATACAACCGGGACTAAAAGTAAGTTCGTTATATCGGTAAGTTCGTTATAAGCGTGTTCGTTATAAACATAGGTTACTTTATTCCAAAAACCTCCGAGGTCTTCAGTAATAATGACATTAGTAATATCAATGGAGTATTGCATTTCTAAATAATTTGTATCCAATGATATGAATTAGCATTCACGCGAAATAAGCTCCTTCTTGGAGAGAGTGAGTTAATGTTGTTTCGTGACTTAAAACCCAACTCACTCACTCATAAACAACGATCTAAGCCGCCGGGTACGATGATACACCATCATCCAGGTGTGTTAACTACATATTTTATATTTTAAACATATTTTCTCTTGATTTTCAAGCTTTTCTCTTGGATGAATAATATTGCAAATTTCGAAAAACCTTAATTTAGATCACCTATTATTATCTTTCGACAGAGCAGCTTTACATATTATTATATGATGGCTTAGCCTCCATTATAGTCTGTGCAACAGTATTAACTACGTACTGCGTGAGGTGACGCTCATATCAATCACTGCATTGTCTGGCCCAGACTCGATTATATACATCGCGCCGTCATATAGCTGGAATAGCGCTGTGCGCAGCGTTCAACAACATTTAATGTAATCATGTCAATATTAAGTCCAACAGTAGTGCATGCTGCAGTCAGACCAGGAGTGTTACCTTTCAACTATACCTCAGTGACGTCGACTTTATTTATAGAAAGAACATAAATAGCCTGTTTCCTGCACTTAGTTATATCTCATGTGGTTAACGCTGAAATCATATTGGTTCATTTGTTAGTAAACAACGCGCGCAAATGTGACCCAGACGTCACAGGCAGTCAACAGAGTATATACGTCATTTCTGACAGGTGCTCGAAAAAGTTTTTGATGTCGCTATTTTCATCATACATAAAAGAGTATGAGTAATGTAGAACATTTTCACAAGTTTCAAATACCAAATCACATAACTAGTTTTCTCGTGTTGCGTCGCCTATATTTCTGCCGGGGCGGTCGGGTAGCCCAGTGGTTAAAGCGTTCGCTCGCCACGCCGAAGACCCGGGTTCGATTCCTGACATGGGTACAATGTGTGAAGCCCGTTTCTGGTGTCCCCCGCCGTGATATTGCTGGAATATTGCTAAATGCGGCGTAAAACCATACTTACTCACTCACTATATTTCTGCAAACTTTATCAACGTAATTTTAAATAAACACTGCCAGTGTGTGACATATATACTTCATCTGCAGCTCAGTACCTAACGTAGTATACTTCTGGAGACTCTCACACCATTTATTCCAGTAGTTTTTTTTATTATTATGTTAAGTGCAGCCTATTAAACGTTATGTACGTATGATGTTCCAGTAAAATCGAAAATAACATGCAAAAACATGTATTAGCCTTTTTGCTGTAAAACTTATATTTCCAATTTAAATAGCAAACAAAACATCACTCACTCCTCTTACTGGTATCATTCATTGATTATATGTTGTTTATAAGTAAGGCATGTGTTCGGACGCCATATTATTTACGTAATATGGCCCTATATCATAAGTATATCTAATGTTGTGATGGGAACCATTCACTTCATATACTGTTAGCTATAGTTATATTTATTGAATGAGTTATATATTTTCTAAAACTGGTTATATTTCTATGTCTTTTGCAATTTCGTTGATAGGGAGCTATGCAATCCTCATCCCTCGATCACATCTGCTGCTCCCTATGGTAGACTTAAACAGTCTTTGTTCTAATAAATACCCCGAGTTACATTAAACAAGCAATCGGCAACAAAATATAACTTTCAACTTTTTTTCTTTTTTTTAAATAGTTAAAAACTAGAATCTGAGTCTGTTTCATTCAGAACATAGTGCTCGTCGGTGAGGAGAAATATGCCTTGTTTTTTCTTATATTTATTGACAATTTATTTTGGACACGGAGACTATTTCCAGTCTACCCGTCTGATAGCTATACCCGTTCTAGCTCAACGCTAGTTGACAGTGTTGAGCAGATCAACATCGTTATTAGAAATTCAACGGCGATAAGATTTCATCAATGTGCGCTATCGTAGCCATGAATGAGGAAATGAATGAAAATGTATATGTACATATGAATGCTTCTATATATGTGCATGCCTAATGAAAATATAGAAAAAGGACACTATCTTGTAAGGACAGGAAACTGTTCAGCCATAGATGATGACAACATTTAGTCATTATCTGGTCAATATTGATAAACCTCTCGCCGGGTGCGTGGACTAAAGAAGCAGAAGGAGTGTTGATAGTTTTACGTACGCTTCTCCGATATATAAACCCCACAACAAAATGGAATCGTTTCTGGGCACTTCGGTTAGAGTTATGCCCCTTTGGTAAACCAACAACATGGCTGTTACACGCAAAGGCATCATTACTTTCGCTGTTGGTATATTGTTTGGATTTGCTGTAACCTACATGTTTACCATTTCAACATCAATATCTGGCCGGCTGAAGTTTGCCCCACGACAGAAGGCGTCATACGCTGGTGGCTTCATCCCCGACAGCCCCCACAGCCACGGCGAGATGGACAGCGTGAAGGGGCCAGAACAATCTGTGGATTGGGCCGACGAACATTCCCACAGTCATACCGGTAGCCGTGTTTTCTATTATCAGTAAAGTTAGTTCTAGAACGTGACACGTCTTCAGCATAAGTGGTAAATGATAGGCCTAGCTGATAGGGTTGTCATCATGAATTTATTAAATGTTTTAGGGTTTTTCTCTTGTCAGAGAAAGTGGGTGTGTATTATGGGAGAAAAAGAAGTTTATTCTGAGATCGAGGGCATGTAGGCTACGTCTTGAGATTGAAAAAAGTAAATACTGGATTTATTACTAATGTGCAATAGTGTTGAAAGTATTTACCGGTATGTATAACCTTTTAACAACATACTTTCACAAAATTACAATGATTCTCTTGAAAGTAAATTTATGGAATTAGGACATTTTCGTGATTTTGGCATATTTCACTTTATCCATTATTTGTTACCATTATTTCCGTTGTTGACAGGTCATTCTTAATATGTCATTACCACAATTAAAATAGAAGACTTTTGATGGCTTTAAGTCAATATTTAGAACCTGGGTTTGACATCATCGTTGTATCCCCTTGTTATGGGTTTTCGGATGCTTGAGAAACATTTGTAATTTTCTCGTTAATCACAAGAACAACTGTGAAACATCTCACCCACTAAGGGAAGACAACTTTATCTTAAAAACAGGCCATCATCTGAGTATTTACAATGTCTGTGTGACGCCACACCCCTTTTTATAGCGCAAGTAATCACGATAAACATGGCCATCCAAAAACGTATGATCGGACAATATACCTGGGGCTGTACAGCATTGTACAGTGCTGCTTTCATTTACCATGTTTACCTGAAGATCAAAATGATGAATATCATGCAACTGCTAATGGTTCTTGACAGAAACAAGTTACCAGAGATCCTCATTGTCTTCAATCTTGTTAAAGCATGCAACCTCGGGGTATCGCGGTACTTGTCATGTATGCTAAATTGAACAAAATGCACTCACTAACCTTTGTGATTATTCATGTTCTATATATCAGATGTCATTTATTTTATCTAATAATGCATATTTTACTGATAAAAGTTCATTATTTACATTAGTAGCTCCGAGTAAAAGCTGGGCCTCGTGCTGATAGATCGGGGTAAGGCAATATTAAAAAAGATGCCAGAAGTATGTATCAACGCATTAATAGATCCTTACACTTACAGCAGACGGAACATTCCGAGGAAAATGAAATTGTTTACGAAGTGAGCACTTCCTGGTTACTGATTTGCATCAATAGACAGCCGCTAAGAGGCGTATCCCACGTGAACTACCGGAATATGACGAACGATGAATGCCGCGGTACCACGGGGTCCGAGTATATATGTGTGATATATGTTTATTGTGTAATCATGGTTATTAGTGTGTAGAACTCATCCTGTCATCGATCATCCTGTCCCAGATAATTATAGCTAATGATGGTCTCACATCTACGAAGACAATCCTGTATACCTGCATGTTGCCTTAATCACAGTTTAGCTGTGAACTGGAGTCCATTTGCAGACTGAAAATGTTCGCTAATTTGTGTTCTTTTCTTCTTATTTTCTTATTATTAGAATTGTAGTTGTGTCACTGTCTTCGTTTGTATACAGCAGGTGAGTCAATTCTAATCAGTATCTACTAAACCTTGGGGATTATTCATCATTATCTCCGAGTTCATGGGAACACTGGTAGTCTGATTTGTCAGTCAAGATGAAGGGATTTGTCTGGTATGCCTTGTGGGCAAAATATAGTTGATTTTGTAGATAAACCTATAGTGTTTACATTTCAGAGGTTTTCAAAGTAGATTTGATACCTATACATATTATTCAAATCAGAACTTGAACTTTGAAACCTCTAAATTGAAAACACTGTTGGATCATCTCCATTCTACCATGACACTTTAAAATCCTGCATTAGAGTTTTTGAAATTTTGAGATATTTGGCAATTTCAAATACTGATTTTACTTATTTAATGTTGCTAAATTATGATGTTCCTATATTATTAGTGTGGTAATATATTTCAGACGGAAATCATGACAAACAAATTCTTAGAGAGTGTATTGTAGAATGCAGTGACATCAACACATACTGTGGGGTCATTATTGTGTCACAATGCTTAGGCTTCCCATCTGTAGAACTTTATATGTCATAATATCGGTGTGTAAATTCAGAACAAGACCTTACAAAGGTCTCTAATCTTCTCTAAGGATGTCAGTTTGAATAATGCTTGCATGACATGGGAATTATTTGTGTCTCATTGAAGTGGTTCAATGGTGAAAATTATGGTTTGGGAACATAAAGCAAATATATGCAGATCTTCACTGATACCAAAATACCTTCATTCACCCTTTTACCTGCTGAAAATAATAGGCTCAACTGATGTCACAACACTAATAATGTCCATTATGGTATAAGCAAAGACTTTGTGGCATATGACATACTTCTTGTGTTTTGATTAAAAAACATTGACACATTAAAAGAGTGGGCATACTGATGGCATTGTCTTCAAGCTGTCATCGCCTGAGAAAATATGGTGACACTTTCAAGGTTTTGTTCTTACAAAACACACATTTGCATGTCAGAAAAAATTACTGACAGGAAGTCCAAGTGTTGTGACATTAAAGATATGCCTCTCTAAGTCGTTTCTTCTTTTCCACATATTGCAACACTTTTTTTAATTAATCTAGGATCTGCAACACAGCTTTTGTTTGGTGAAGTAAGATCTGTGTTTGAAATTGCCTACTGGGTAGCTTTTGCTTCTAATTAAATGTTTTCTATCACATTGATGCGGGGTTCATCAAAATCATGGTATTTGCGGATATATGTATATATTTGTTAAGGCTGGCACGCCTTTGTCAACTCTACATGTCGTGGAAAAAATCATTTTCTTCGTGGTTGTGGTTTGGTTTCAGATATGGTTAACATAAAAATAAATTCTTTTGATGTTATAGAGCAACATCTTCCAATTTCATATAAATGACACCTACAGACATTTTATAAATATTTAAAAAGAAATATGTTTATTCAGGTATTTTGCCACAATTTAACATAAATTCCGATACATCCTCACGTAGTTGGGGGTAGCAGGCAAGTTTCATGCACAGTGTGGGATATGACGTCAAGGTAACCGATGATGTCACAATGGTCTGCAAAGCTTTGTGATGCAATTTTATTGCAGCGATATCTACAATATAGATATCGCTTGATCTCACACAAGCATATCTTAGGAATTATCTGAGATTCAAATGTACAAATTATTATTCTCAAAGTGTATGAGTCAGCACCATTCCCGTGCTCGTGGGTTTCATCAAAGTGGTAAACGTCGAAGACCTGCCACACTTTCCTCCCATATTATGCTGACACACCGTGATAAAACTGTAATACATGTACTGTTAAACCCACCTCACTCACTCACTCACTCCAAGTGGAAGACATTTTCGTATAGTCAAGTCACATGTTCCTAGATCCTCTGACAGATTCTGTCATAAGGAAAACAAGATTTGGTCAGCTAAAGTCAACTTATCATGTAGGTTCACTATTTGGCTGAAATAATGCCAATGTGACGTTTAATTTTAACTCACTCACTCACTATCATGTAGGTAACTTAGAGTGAGTGAATGTGTTTTAGCATGTTTAGCTATACAGCTCCTGGCTCTGACATTGACGTCCATGGTTGTATGAAAATTATTTGTTGGATTTGATTGGGAAATAACACAAAATTTGATAAATAAAGTGAGTTTCAATGCAGTGTTTTCCCAGACTGATAGAATACCTTGTTGTTTTCTGACACAGAAAAGTTCAAGGCAGTACACAGTTTTTCACGGCCTTTTTCCCATTCCTGAGCATGATTAAATCAATTTGTGTTTTAGTTGCACACTGAACAAATGATGCTTTTCTAAACTAAAAGACAAAACATGTGCTAGTTTAAGATATTCTGTAGTAAAAGACAAAGTTGTCACAGTACGCGTTGAGCTGAGAGCCAGCACGGAAGTTGGACAGTCGCTAATATCATTTCAAAAAGAGATTTATATTAAAGGGTGTTTATTTCTGTATAATGGGCCCCATGGCCTACAGTACAAAAGATCCATTCATATTTTATAGAACAAATGTGAAATTTCATCCATTACAACATGCATGCATGCATGCGTGGAACAAAATGTCATACAATGATTTGTTTGTTCAGTTTCAAACTATAAAGAAATTAAATTTCTCTTAAGGAACAGAGCAATTCTGTTTTGTACATGTACATCACTAATTGCCATTAACAATTTAAACTTATCCTCTGAAGGAAATTTATGAAAATATGATGTAATAAATTGTTGGCGACTATTTCTGTATGCCGGGCATACCAATAAAAAATGATACTCATCTTCTTTAACTGGCAAATCACATTTTTCACATAAACTTTCTAATACATTTGAGGAATTAAAATCATTTGAGGATCGTAATTTTTGAATATTCAAGTGGTGAGAAGAGCATCTAAATATACACATAATTCAAATCAAATCCTTGTGTTCTAAATGTAGAATATAGGATTCGGGATTTAACAGTGTCTTAAAACTAGAATAACCTTCTAAAAAAGAGAATTTTCTACTTTACTATGCCAATTTTGAATTCCAATATCCTTACACCTTTGTTTGAACTGCTGCAGAAATGCCTCCACATCCCCATACGATCGCATAATCCAAACATATGAAAAACCTGTATTTATCCCCCTTTGGGACAGTAATATAGCCCACTGTGTTGTTTGGCCTAATAACATGAATAACACTGTCCTTGTATACACGACCTCATTATGCATAATAGATATTATCATACCTCAATTTCAGAATGATGAGATTTGATTGGTCCATGTGATCTTGATAAAATATGAAGTATTCTGCATTAGAGGGGAATAAATTTCTCAGAGGGTGAATGGGGCGGTCAGGTAGCCTAGTGGTTAAAGCGTTCGCTCATCGCGCCGAAAACCCGGGTTCGATTCCCAATATGGGTACAATGTGTGAAGCCCATTTCTGGTGTCCCCCGCCGTGATATTGCTGGAAT